CAACGAAATCTACGTCGACACGGAATCAAAACAATGATATCAAACAAAACAGGAGTAAGAAAATAAGCAGAGATCAATCCAGCTGGCAAATGATTGCAATTGGGAGTGGCCCCTTCTTTCCCTTTCGTCTTATCTACCGCATATGGCCCTTTCATGCTTGGTTATAAATTTCCAAATTTTATAGCAGCTGATAAACTTCAACCAATCATGATTGAGCATGCATATCACTGTGTTCGCACAAGTCCGCATTTTGGCTTCTTTTTGGTTGCTTTTTGCATGGCTATTGACTTCCCGGCTTTGAACAAAAAGTTGTTTGGCCTGTTTTGGTAGATTTTGGTAATCTTTCAACAACATTTGGCTCTGGGCATGCGCAAGAACCGAACCCTGTGAACCAATTGTATTTTAGATTTAGCATAATATTTAATTTTTGACTCTGTCAATGTGTTCGAAACAGCAGTTTGAGGGCCGAACAAAGAAGTCACACGAAAGATTTTTTATTGAATTGAATTCTGAATTGACGAGTTAGCCTTGTTATAAAAATGGTAAGATATAATTCTGTATATTTAAAGATAGGGTACAAACGTACAGTCCCGCCATAAAATGAAATAAAAACCAGGTTTTTATTTCATTTTATGTTCTTGCAAAGCCTGATTGTTGTACCTTGATCATTTGTACTGTAGAAGCATGAAAATATAAATAGTTGTCGAATAAAGTTCAATATTTTGAATACCGAAATGTAAACAAAGGCTTTGTTTACATACAGACTCTAGCCTACCTATAATTTAGTCGGAACTCAGAAGGTTGAAAATTTACTATTGGGTCATGCCAGTATTTAATACCATGTGCATCGATCCCATGATCATGGCACATTTGCCGTACCAAAAGTCATGACTTCGATGCACAAATTGGTGCACAAGCAAGACGTTACGTACCTGATTCTGGTGCACACTCACCAAGGAGAATTAATTGTTTGTATGTATGGCTGCCATGAAAACCTTGACAGATGTGCAATAAGTACTTCTATAGGTTTGGCAAACAAAATATGGCCTTAACTTATACAATGAAAGGGCGGGTGTAATTTGCAGAACGCAACTTCTGTACTTTCATGCGTAAAAGCTGTCCGTAATGTATCGATCAATTCGAAACTTCACCATCCCCCCCCCCCCCGGGCCGACCCCGGGAATTTGAACTTTTTGAAATTTGACTGATCAAATTCTCCAGTCCCTGTGCAAAAAATGTCTTCAAATGCCCCACTGTAACAAGAAATTAAGCGTTCAAATGCCCCACCTTCATATTCATGAAAATTATGAAACAGTAAATACAAAAAGTACAAAATATACGGAAATGTTTTTCAACAAGATAGCGAAATTCACGTAAAAAGTTTGGATACCTTGTGGAAATTTAACAGTTTTACACAATTATGTAGTACATACCTTCAAATCAAGCACATAGATTTTCCATGCCCGTTTCTTTGAGCCAGTTTTTCACAAAATGGAGGCTGTTTCCCTCGAAATCTGAGAAAACTTTATTTGCTGGCAATGCGAAGTATTTTCTGTGCATGCAGGAAACACGCGAAAACGGGCAAAATTTTAAGACTATAATCCGGTTCAAATTCCCCACCCTGTTATCAAATGCCCCACCACATGGAAGACTTGGAACGTAAAATTCCCTACTCCCTGGAGAAGACTTGAAGTCAAATTCCCGGGGTATGCCCGGGAGGGGGGATGGTGAAGTTTCAAATTGATCGATACATAAGTGTTGGGGTTAGGGTTAGGGACCTAACCTTGTAAAGGCTGAGCGAAAGTATAGAAGTCGCATTCCTTAAAGTAAAACGTTTTACCATGCATAGGCAGCTAAAAAACTGTGAAAATTTTTACCCTCGTGTGTGGCGCTTGGGCGTGCATCAAGTCAACTTTGTTTATAGAACGTTGACTCAATGCCCGCCCGAGCACCACATACAGTACATACAAATAAAACATTTTCACCACAGATTTTTGAGATGCCTAAAGGTAAAACTTTTTTAATATTTTATAAGTCAATGCCACATTTTGTTTGCCTAACCCATTATTATTATGACATATAGTAATAAACAAAATTGACTTGATGCACACCCGAGAGCGCCGTGCGAGAGGGTAAGGCAAATTCCAAATATGATCAGTGGTTTTAATATTTATTCTTCAGATATAATATCGATGTCCAAAGTTTTATTAACCCATTGAGTGGTAGTATTCTCCCTAGGACTGTTCGGTATACCGATATACCGAAAATATCAGTATTAAATCAATATTGGTATATCAATATACTGGATATTCAACCATACCGATATACCGAAATTTCCGATATACCAGAATTTTTCGGTATATATATGGTGAAACCATAACCTTTATTTTACTACTGAATGGCAATTTGAAGAACTTTCTATTGCAATGATTTAGAATAATTTTCCACTTCAGTGAGATTTTACACTGAGTCGTTCCAAACATGTTCGAAACAGCTTCGAAATTATTGTTTTCCCTTTCAGAATTGCTAAAAATTTCCTTCAAATTTCCATTTAAAAAAGAATTTTCCTTTATAAGTATCAGAGAAATTTCCGGTATCTGTTTACCGAAAAAATTATACCGATATCGGTATATCGATACCGGAAATTTTTCATACCGAACATTCTTCGAACATTCTTCAACTCTCCCCCCGACAAGTAAAATCATCTTTTGTTAGACAGGGTAAAATAATAAAGTGGGGTTCATCCAGGTACATTGCCACTTAAAGGGTTAATAGGGTGCATAGGCAGATGGTCTGATTAACCCATTGAGTGGCAACACTCTCCCCTTGACGAGTAAAATCGTCTTGCGTTAGACAGGATAAAATAGTAAAGTAGGGTGCATTGACATGTGCTTAAGAGAAAGGCGTCAAAGGCCTAAGTTATATATTCCCCCTGGGTAGAAGGGGAAAAGTTTAACATTTAGTAAATGCACTCATATTCATGCTGGTGTGTCAAAATATTGTTATTTTGGTTGCCAATATCGGTATTGCATTATAACAAAGTTCTTTTAAACGTTTTATTGAAAGACCTTTACGAAAGACCAAAATTAAATATTCCCTGGGTAGAAAAGTCTAAGATTTAGTGATGCACCAATACCCATGCCGGTGTCCCAGGATTTTCGCCCCCCCTACATTTTCACCCCCGGGGGCGAAATTCCTAGGAATATCGCCCCCCAGGGGGCGAAAATCCTAGGAATTTCGCCCCCCTTTAGGAAATTCGCCCCCTTTAGAACTTCACCTTTTCTTTAGGATTTTCGTCCTCTGTTCAATTTCGCCCTTCCTAACAGTTGCATGGGATAATTATTACATAGCTTAATCATTTGAAATCAGTATCAATTCAAAATTGTTAAGACAGAGGAGAGCTTGAAATAACAACCGATCACCGATCAATGATCGGCAAGGAATTGCTTATGATCGGCGGAAAAGCCGGGTTTCGGTTTCCAACCTGAAAAAAGCAGGGAAAGTCATGCCCGCCGATCACCATGATCGGGAACTTTGGGAACGTTATTTCAAGCCCTGCATGTAAGAATGCAAATTTACAATTACAGTACATGTATCGAAAGGGCTTACACAGTTACAGTAGATCACGCTTCACAGATATGACGCTTCACAGCACACCATGCATATTTTGCATTTTCAGTGTTAATTAAAAAGTAATCACCGTGGTGGTTATTGTAATTATTGGTATTGATTTGCATCCACGTTTTGCCGTTATTGGAAAATGTGTGGCTTATAAGTTGTCACTATTTTTTACTTGCATTATTTCAATATAGTTTGTAAATCTCAGAAGCGAAGGATAGAACTTGCCAATAGGCAATATTCCAATAATATACGTTTCAAAAAAGACAAAAAAGCTTTTAGTTTTGCAGAGTTACATTCTCAAATGTTTATGGCACTAATAAAATCAAAGTATAATGAAATTATTTGAATAATATATAAACATATATAATGCAATTTTCTTTGCGGAAGTCAAGAATCAAGATTACATCACTATAGATTTTTTATTAATCCTACAGTTTATTGTTAGCAAGTGATTACTGTGGCGGTTATTGTTAACACTGGTATTGATAAAATTTGCAAGCGATTGTTTTTATAATATGTTATGTGAATGTAAACTGCCAGAAGAATACGACAACATGATTTTATGCGATCTCTGTGGGCAATGGTTCCATTTTAGATGTGTAGAATATGACACTAGTCTGAGTACCTCAAATGAGTGGTTATGCAGACTGTGCACACCACCAGCTGCTAAAAAGCCTAAAATGTGTATGTAATTTTGTCTCCTTGTAATAAATCACGCAATGAATCTTTTCAACTTGCAATCGTTTTGTTTTTAGATCAAAAATTCAAAATTTATATGGGGTGGGGCGAAATTCCTAAAGGGGGGCGATATTCCTAGGAGATTCGCCCCCCTGGGGGGCGGTATTCCTAGGAGATTCGCCCCCGGGGGGGGGCGAATATCCTAGGAATATCGCCCCCCTTTTGAGAGGGGGGCGAATCTCCCTGGGGGGGGGGCGGATCTCCTGTGACACCGGCATATCGAATATTAGTATATTAGCCCTGAATGTAAAATATTGTTATTGTTGTTGCCAATATGGTACTGTATTTTAAAAAAAAAATTATAGAATAATAGAATATCTTTTAAATTTCAAGTATATTTTGGATTCCAATTTGGTTGTAACACATGTATCAAAGATGTTGTGTACATATATGATAAGCTACTATGATTAGTCTCTCTTTTTACAGTAAGTCCAATTGCCATTTTGAATTGGTATATATTGGCCTTGAATATCAGAATATCCGGCTGTGAATTCCCATACTGGTACATGAACAAGCTACATGAACATTTCGTACATGAACAATTCGTACATGAACAAGCTTTCGTTGGTAGGGATGCAACTACCTGAAAAATATAAGGAGAATTTTGACGTTTAGAGTGAACCGTGCCCCTTCGCCTGGAGTTACACGTCGGGTAAGGAAATTAACCCTTTAAGTGGCAATGTGCCCAGGTGCTCCCTACTTTACTATTATTTAACTTTGTCTAACACCAGGCAATTTTACTCGTCAGGGGAAGAGTGCTGCCACTCAATGGGTTTTAAGCATGTTTTCAGCACAAGTTACAAAATTTTTAACAAGACATGATAGGACACATTGGAGAGAGAACCTGGTGCAATTGCAGAATACCATGCCACATATATATTTCCACTGTGTAGCCACAGGAAGCCAAGGCTCTGTGCGTAGCCAGCATCCAGCCTTTGCCTGCACCAGGCTGTAGAAAAGTTTCCAGCCCTGAGGTCGCAAGCGATATGCCAAATTCCTCATTACATTCAAAGGTAATCACTGTTCATCAAAGAAGAATGACAAACGGTTAATCAATTTTAATTTAAACGAGCTCCCACACTTAAATATATATCATTAGATTTTTGGGTGAGAATTCTTGGTTTGTGCAATAATTTTAAGGCCCTATAGTGAGAAAGGCTAATTTTCTTTTGTTTCTGTTGAGAAAACAACGAATTTGTGGTTAAAACGTTGTGTGCGCCAATGTGGGTTGCCGTAAAATGACAGACAATCTGAATCCAATTTCTTTTCTGTATAGGTAATAGAATGGTTAAACATGCACGAGTGAGTTTTTCAAAGACGATCAAAATTTCACGGGCCGAAGGACGAGTGCAATTTGAAGTCTTTGAAAACTCACGAGTGTATGTTTTTCCAAATTCCACGAGAAACTGTACTAATACTTATTATTATGGGTACTAGGTTATTTTTCGAGTTAAGCCTTTTCAAGTTAAGCCCCTGCCACGCCCTTTTTCGCCCAGGGCTTAACTCGAAGTCAGTTAACGGTTTAAGCATTCGAGAACATGTGACGCGTGTATACTCACAGAAACATTCGCATAATTACACGATTTTATAAAGAGAGGAATATTCTAAATAAAACAAAACAACATATAGAGTCGATTTAAAGTTTGTTCGTTCACAGCAACCAGGTATATTAATCATATTTTGACTCCCTACTCTGGTTTATATATAAATGAATACAAAGCCCGGTCAAATTGTAATCAAGATCAAACGTTTCGACACTCCAGTCTAGTGTCTTCTTCAGAGGTGATCTAAAGTTGCAATGTGGCTTCTTAAATACCCAAGGGATGACGACATCTGCCAATGAGATGCATGTATTCCTCTGGCAAATAGGCACCGTCATCCCTATTCAAAGCATGATTACTCGTATTTATATGGCACGCTTCTAGGCATCGTCTTTGACCATAGCGATTGTTTGTGATAATTACTTTAGAATTTTCCCACGCAATCTCGTGTTTGGTGTCACACACACATGTTCTGCTAAAGCTGATTTCCCCTTGTTTAAAGTTGAAACAGCCTTTTGATGTTCTTTTAGCCGTGTACTAAACTGGCGTTTAAACTGACCCAAATACTTTCTCGCAGTCACCGCATGGTATAGAATATACAGCACGAGTTTTCTGATTTGTTTTCTATTTCTTTCGGCTTTGCGAAAATATGGCCTACAGTCAAATAGGGTTTTAAGGCAACCTAATTAATTAATATTACAATTACTTAAGATTTTCTTGATTGGTTTTGTGACACCTTGAATGTATGGAACTATATAACCCTTGGCATAGGTATCACCCTTGGAGTTATTTTGGTTCTTACAAACAGGTGGTCTCAGGCAATCATTGAGAAAACGTTTCGGGTAATCGTTTTGAGTTGAGGTTGTACGAAGGCTTTATAGTCTTATTACAGGCACATTATGGAAATGTTTTTACCGAGGAAACCCGACAGAACATAGCTGACGAACATACTTTTAAGCTTTTAACGAAAGCCAAGGTCTCTCATTTCGCGATGTCATTGTCGGCATAAAACTGTAGGCAAAGCAACAAAGATCTTAAGCAAAATGTATTTCCTAAAATTGCTGAAAATAATTTTTCTATAAATTTACATTCTCGTTAATTGAGTTCCCTGACTCAAAGTACTAAAACAACCTTATGTTCATCGAGTTGAGCCCCCGGCAGAAAAGGGCGTGGCAGAGGCTTAACTCGAAAAGGGCTTAACTTGGAAAATACCTACCCATATTTTGGAAAACAGACAATCGTTGTTTTTTGATGTTTCTCTGAGTGTGCATCCACACCGGGCAAGGACTCTGTTCCGAAATATCACCAACTCGAACCGACTCAGTTGGTAGCTAGAGCATTGGACTAGTATCCCAAAGGTCGCGGGTTCGATTCGCAAACTTTTCAGCCTGCCCGTGTGGATGCACACTCAGAGTAACATCACAAACATCATATTCATCTGAGTACAAAACACCAACACACACAGAAATCATCATATCTTACAATGCATTGATATCGAAGGAACTAGACAAGAGGGAAGAGCCTGGGAACGAGGTTGGGAACTAGACTCCGAAATATCACCACAAACATCATGTTCACCTGAGTACATAACACCAACACACACAGAAATCATCATATTAGAAATGAATATATGATGTAGCCGGTTAGCTGGTGTGCAGTTGGGAAATCACCATGCACTGAAAATGCTATACAGTCGAATGCCTATGCAGTAATTAAAATGTGATTAGCCACTCGAATGTTTTGCCAGTTCACTGTGCTTAGTCAGATGCCTTTCGTAGTGGTGCATTCGGCAATTACTCTACAGTTGTTGTGAATGTGATGTTTTGTAACAAATTTCTGTATTTTCCATTCTGGGCCTCTAGGAAAACAAAATGATACACACTGGAGACAGACGTTATGAATGTGACGTTTGCAAGAAAAGATTTAAAAAATCCGATAAACTGGCGGCACATAAGAGAACACACACTGGAGAGAAACCTTATGAATGTGATGTTTGTAAGAAACGATTTACAGAATCTGGCCAACTGAAAATACACAAAAGAACACACACTGGAGACAGACCTTATGAATGTGATGTTTGTAAGAAAAGATTTAAACAATGTGGTCATCTAACGACACATAAGAGAACGCACACTGGAGACAAACCCTATGAATGTGATGTTTGTAAGAAACGATTTATAGAATCTGGCCATCTTAAATCACACAAAAGAACACACACTGGAGATAAGCCTTACGAATGTGATGTTTGTAAGAAACGATTTAAACAATCGGCCCATCATAAAAAGCACAAAGGAACACATACTGGAGACAAGCCTTATGAATGTGATGTTTGTAAGAGAAGATTTACTCAATCTAACCGTCTAGCTTCTCATAAAAGAACACACACTGGAGCCAAACCTTATGAATGTGATGTTTGCAAGCAGAGATTTTCCCAGTCTTACAATCTAGCAACACATAAAAGAAAACACACTGGGAACAAACCTTACAAATGTGACGTCTGTGAGAAAAGATTTGCGGATTCAGGAAATTTAGCAGTCCACACAAGAACACATACAGGGGCTAAACATTACGGATGTGATGTTTGTTTGAAAAGGTTTAGACATTCAAATACTTTGGTGACACACAGGCGGATACACACAGGAGAAACACCATATGAATGTAATATCTGTAACAAACGATTTTCACAATCTAGCCATCTAGGAACACATATAAGGAGACACACTGGGGACAAACCTCATGAATGTCATGTCTGTAAGAAACGATTTCTACTAAAACAATATCTTAATTACCATGAAAAGCTACATTTGTTGTGCGACACTTGCCACAAAGAGATTATTGAACCCCAAGATTTGCAAGAGCATTTTCTTAAGGATACAAGCACTGGAAAGTATGTTTGCAGTAAATGTAGCAAAGAATTTCCTTATAGTTTTAAGAAATGGGTACGACATATAGCAAGGGAACATGGGAATGATGGGAAGTATCAATGCGGTTTTTGTCAAGAACTGGAATCAACAAAACCAACTGGTGTTGGATATGCTTGTTGCGCCTGTGATGCTGTGTTTGATGTTCCCAGAGGACTTGAAGAACACATGGTCACTCATGACATGATGCAGATTGAATAAGTTTCAGCTCTATATGACTTTTGTATTTTAATGACTAATGTTGATTGTACCTGGGATAAGAATAAAGTGTGGATAGGGACCTGGAGAGAGGGTTGTGGGACTATGCAAATACTGTACAGGTTTCGGAATTCAGGTTAGCAATCGGCAAATGGCAATCTGGTTGCTGACCTATGGTCATGACAACTCGGCCAAAAATTGCCGATCTGCAGTTATACTTTTCTGATGTCAGAATTCAGAGCATGCAAATGACGCATTTAAACATCGCATATTTAAACTTTGAGGTAATGGACCATTCCCCCAATTAACCAAAATTTTGATCTCAACAAGTCTAGACAAAAATTTCATCACAGTTTAAAAGAGCATCACAAAATTAGTAATATTCCAAAGTTTCGTTGCAAAATGTTGTAAAATGCGGATAATATAGCCTTGCGAAATTTGCAGTTTTCAGTCATTTTAGATTACAAACGGGAAATGGTTACCACTATTCCAAAATTTTGATCTTAACTGGCCAGGTGATCTTGATACGCGGAAAAGTACTGGCACTAGTTGTCAAATAGAAATCCATTTTATGATTAAAACAACTGAATATCTCCTGTAATATACTTTATTTCGATTCCATATTTTTGTCAGAGCTATAGTTCTCATAACGAAACATAATTACAAAATTTCAACTAGTTTCATAAAGAATAACGAAAGTTATAATTGACTGAATACAACAAAATGGATTTCTATTCGGACAACCCTTTCTGAGCGCTGATTGGTAAAATACGAACACGAGATCACCCGGAGCCTAAACAAAAATTTCATCACGGCTTGAACGAGCATCACAAAATGAGTAATAATCCAAAGTTTCGTTGCAAACGTTACAAAGTTTCGTTGTATTACGCACTGAAGTGGTAACCATTTCCCGTTTGTAATCTAAAATGACTGAAAATTGCAAACTTCGCAAGGCGGCTATATTATCCGCATTTTACAACATTTTGCAACGAAACTTTGGAATATTACTAATTTTGTGATGCTCTTTCAAGCTGTGATGAAATTTTTGTCTAGACTTGTTGAGTTCAAAATTTTGGTTAATTGGGGAATGGTCCATTGAATGCTATAATTAGCTAATTTCTTCTATACTGTTTTCCTTGGTCACTGTGAATATGTTTTTGTGGAATTGATTTGCGCTGGTTTAACTCGAGCACAGAATGACTCCATTCGGCAAGGGTTATAAAATGGGAAAAACTGGTTCCCATATAAACGGTTGGAACCATTTGAATCGATTTTTCAAGCGGAACAAATGTTGTCTATTTGAGGCCATTTTTAAGAATTCGTCATTGGGGGTGGGGGGAGGGGAGCTACAAAAAGGGGACATAATAGGTCACTAGTATATGGTGCCATGCGTTGGTCACTTTTTCGAATGGAAGCATAAAATACCGGGGTCCCACAGGGAACAAAGCTTGGCCCGCTCTTATTTTTGGTCATGATTAATGACCTCGGAGTGTAAAACAACCTGATGATACCACTTTCTGGGAACAGATAATTTTGATATGATACGCCTTTATCACATCAAAATTATCTGTTGTCACGGCAATCGGAAATTACATGGAAGTGGCCACCTAAAAAGTCTTTACAGAGTCTTTGCTACTGTTTCTTTCCAGCAAAAGAGGGCGTTCATTAAGCGGGGCACTTAAGCCCAGGGGCCAGTTGTTCAAAGCTGGGTTAGCTTAACCCTGGATTAACCTAAAATACGAAGCAAACTTCTTGACAACTTGTCTATAAATTTGAAAATATTTCTTCATAGATCTTGTCTGGATCGATAATTGTGTTTACTTCTCCGAAGTTTTGAAATAAACAGACATGTAGAAATACACAAACTAAAACAGCAGGTTAAATTATAACCCAGGGTTAGTACTAATCCACCTTTGAACAACCGACCCCAGAAAAAGGGCACTTTTTTCATTTAAAAAAACGTGGGGTGCACATGCCCCCATTGCCACCAGTTCCGCGGCCCCTGGTGAATACTACTGTCGCATTTTCAAACTTCTCTGGGGATTAACGAATCGGAAGCCAAAAGTCGCGATTGAAATACAACTACAACTGAAAAGTCGCCATTGTTGTTGTTGTGAGAATATGCTTTTTTTGTAGTTTAAAACAGTACGTGATTTAATTTTAAGCTTCTTAAATCCACGAAAAGAGTTTGAAAAAGCGATAATTATGTAATTGTTAAAAAAAAGTCATGTAATCGGCCTTTCTCACGAATGCCCAAACCGCCATTTTGGGAGTACTGTCTGTCTCGTGAAAGATTCTAGACAATTCAAACAACGTGAAAAGGTTAAGCGACTTTTAAAAGTTGTAACTGTAAATTTGCCATTATATAAACAACTACAATAACTGTAAATTTGCCATTATATAAACAACTACAATACTAAAAAGTTGCATTTCGCGGTGCGGAGACTCATAACCACTGAGCTCATAACTCATAGGTGAGTGCAATTGCAATTTATATAGATCAGTGGCTGTGATAAGTTGCCGGGCAATGCATGAATTTTCTCTCCCCCCTTTGAAAGCGACTGGGGACGAAGCAGGTTTTTTTACACGGTTCCAAGCAAGCACTGAGGGGTTCCAAGTAGGACAAGTAGGTGTATAAAATCAAAAACAGTACGTAGGTCGCAGGTACAGACTGTACCTGCGACCTACGTACTGTTTTTGACTCGTACAGATCTCTGAGCTATACTATATTACTGGAGGACCTGCTCGGCATCAACAAGTGTGAATCCAAAAACATGAGGATCTTGCGCCATTGCCATGACTACTGGTCCCTAGATTCATGGCAACTACCACTGTCCCAACCCAATATTTGAGCCCAAGTATTTTAAGATTTCGCTTGTTTTTGAAGTAAAATCGCACTGACTCTTCCACAGTACCTCATCCGTTATCCGTACGCGCGGTCGCGATAATTTGAGCTTCGCGTTCTATCGCATTCCCATTAAGCACCGCGCTCCCATTGTTTTCCACTCTATTCCCAACTGAAGCGACGAGGGACGAGGCAGGGCCTGCGGAGGAGGAGGCATAATTTTCTGTTCGACGCACAATCTCGTTCCCCGAGCCTGCGATCCTCGGGAAGGAAACGAAGGCTCTGGGATAATCCGTTGCCGGAAGCCAGGAATTCTGGCTAAGATTGAACTACGCAGAATTCCTCCCTGAAACGGATTATCCCAGAGCCTCGCGTTCCTTCCCGAGGATCGCAGGCTCGGGGAACGAGATTGTTCGATGCACAGAAAATCAAAATATAAAAGTGGAAGCATTACATGTATTAATTATTAAAACTGATCGAAGCAATCAAGTTCAAGAAGCATTCTCATGCAGAAAGATTTTTTATTGAATTTTGATTTTGAAGTGACCAGTTAGCCTTGGTATAAAACTGGTAAGATATAATTTATCTATATTAAAGCAACATGGTTGAAGATTTTGCTATAATGCTGTTGAGTCATGCCAGAATTTACCAGACCAATCCATAGATTTAATCTTATTATAAGATATATTAGTATTATCAATGTTGCTCTTTTGCCATTGACTTGTACCCTGGAGGGTATTTATTTCCGCCTCTTCTGATTGGCATTGGTAACATTCACAATATTTTATATAGTGCCTTACCCTTTACATCCCAACCTTTCCTGACCCTGACACAAGAACTGAACATTTTAAATTCCATTAATGGTTTTCGAATGATTCCCAAAGATTTCACATGTCAGTCATGTGGACTATCAAATATTGTAAAAACTGAACTCTCACGATTATTAGTTACAGATTTCCCATATGGTAAATTCGGTAAAAAACCATGATATATTTACTATAAACCATGATATTATATATTAATATTTACCCAGGGCCGTAGTGCAGTGATGTTTTCCAGGGGGAATGCGGGGGAACGCCGTCCCCCCACCTTTTTTACCGGGGGAACGGCATCCCCCTTGCCAAAATCAAACATGGGGGAACGCCGTTCCCCCTGGCAGGGATTAAATATTAGCGAAGTTCAGTGAACGCCGTTCGACACCGTCCAAATAATTTTGGCTATCACTTGTTCTACATACGTGTTATTTGCCGAAATTTCTAGCAGACTAGTACAAAATAATAGTCTAGAGTCTGATAATTGACGTCCACTTAGATAGTTCACAATCAATTGTCATCAGCACGGAGATAACGTCAGGCAGCAGCCCAGCGGGATATAATTTGAATTACCTTATGCATGGAGTTAGCAGACATGATACCTGAAAAACACGTAGCTTGCGCGCGGTAGATGTCAAAAAGCAAATAAAACCACGTTAACTTTCCAATTTTGATGATGCATTAGTGCTATGTGAGTCAACCAACTCGGCAAATAGGCAACTTTGCAAGTTAAATATGACGTTTTCACAAGTAACTAAATAAGCTTGGATCATGGGCGTACTGGAAGGAAAAAATTAGGGGGGCGGAAAGAAAATTGCCCGATTTTTAGGGATTGTGCCAGAATAGTACCGAAAATTTTTTTCCGGAAAAATTATTTTGGCGACATAATACTAATTTTAAAAAAACACAAAATTTACACAAAATTTACTTAATTTTAGACAAAATTGACAGAATTTGTCCCATTTTTTTTATTGCAAACCAAAATTGCCCGACTGTTCATCGAATATTGCCCGACTGCCTAACAAACTGGGGGAGCTACCGCCCGTACGCCTATGGCTTGGATAATAGATATCCTTGAATCTTTCCCATTCATGTTAATGTTCTTATTGAATCATTTTATGTTCCCATTGATGATTTTAATGTTTAATTTCGCGATTGCGTGAAAGACTATACTACTTTATAAAAATCAAGCCTAAGCCAGAAATTGTAAAATAGGTTGTTGACCATTGTAGTTAGTAAGAGATATGATTTCTAAAAGATCTAAAATCGTTGAATTCTTTACTGAAAAATCTGTGGAAGACTCAATTTCAGAAGTTGAAACTGGCTTCGTAGCCATCCGTTAACCATCATCCACAGCAATGTGACATATTTTGACAAGCTTGCCTATTAGACTAAAGTCACTAAATCCCCGCTTGTTTAATATTTCATGGCCAATGGCCACGCCCAATAGAATGACCATGCCCATTTGATTTTCAAGAGCGTTCCCCCTCTTCTAAAATTAGCAAAACATCGCTGCCGTAGTGGTGGGGGGGGGTGGGGTGGTGGTTAATCCCCAACCTCTTTAAAATTAACATTCGGAAAATCAGGTTGGCTATTTTTAGTTGTTAAACAGAAAATATTAATATAATTGTATTGTCAGTATAAAGTGATTTACGAAATCTTGTCATTTTAATGGTAACATTTAACAAATCGTAAATCGGTAAATGTTTTTCAGTTTATTACTTCATAAAATGAGCAAGCGTGAGCAAAGGCAATTCTCCCAGTACTGCTAATCATAGGAATGGGAAACGGCATTTCAGAGACTCTAAATTAAAATTTCTCGGGCTTGGCCCTCACTTAGCTCCCAATCAAAAAGTGATTCCTATGGCACTGCTTCTGATGTCTGTGCATAACATATGCATATTTTTGTTTGTAAGTTGCGTCTTCATTTTTCGGATAGCAAGCACCTTCGTGGCTTCGTATCAATCGTATGCCATGAAATATTCGGAAATTTTTTTCATCATTCGGAAATTTTGGCAGGCTACCCCAACTATACATGCTAGCTACAGCCCTGTATTTACCATCAATGGTATTTTCCTGGTAAATATTAACGCCCAATGCGCCCTGAGATTGACAAGTGGGTAACGGACAATGCGCCCACATGCGCCCTCAAATGACACCTCAACTTGCGGGCATGATATTTGAGCACGTGTTTATCGGGTTGCCTAGCAACGGATACGAAAATAGAACGTGAAATTCCATAGGCAGCCCACTAAACGACTGAATTTAAATTAAAACTACAATGAAATTATAAAATTTAACGAAAATAATCACAAATTAGCGAAATATATTGCAAAATGTAGCTTATATTATGGTGGCTCCCTACAGTTAGTACAGTTTAAATATGATTTATATAGTTCAGACTTCATCCTCGCGACCTGCGCGTGGAATCGTCGTGTTTACTGTTCGGCAAAAATATTGAAACAAGCCGCGGGAAGTTTTTTGGCGTTTTTATCTACAAAGAAAGCTCCAGTTTTTCATTATAATCCTAATTTTTTTCTGAATTCGAACAGTACGTATGTTATTAACTAGTTTAGCCAATGTTTTAGTGTGTTTTTACGAGGGGTGTATCACTCAAAAAAAGCGTACGAGATTTGGGGATTTTCAAAATCCCTCAGGGATTTTTAGGGATTTTCACGGATTTTTAGGGATTTTCGAGGGATTTCAAATAAAAAAAATCCCAGAAAAAAATCAACAACTTCACAAAAACTTTACTTTTACTTTAGTTTTGTACCATTATTAACACATTAGACAGCTAGACTAACATAGCGATGACTGAAAATACCAAAAATAACAAAGAATGTAAAAGTTTAAATCTGACTGAACAGTAACACTCACCTAAACGTTAGAGGATGTATCACTCCAAAAAGACCTGACCTATTCCTAGAATGCTAATTATTAAGTAAAAAGTAATAATAATAATAGTCGTCGGCAGTAATAATAGTCGACAGTATAGCTCCTGCCAAATAATGTAAACTTTATTATTTTGTTAATGTAACTTTTGAAGATACACTATAGAATATCAAAGATTCTATTGTTAACAAAAACGTCTTTGCCATATATTTGTACCTAAAATAACCAATCGTGGCACAGGCATGCACAACAAACAAGTGAACTTATTACTTTAATTAAAATCAAAGGTTATTTTTGAGTGCCAGTTGGGTAAAACCTTCCGGACCACCTCTACAGGAATAGAAAACGAAAACTCAGGATTTTCTTGCAAGGAGGAGTCGTCAATACTTCCAACATAATGCTTCATGGATAAATAACCAGGAGTAAAAACGTTTTCGATTGGTTTAAAAGTTATTAAACCTCCGCTGGTATTGTTTCCAGAAACAGCTCGGGTTCCTTGAAACCAGTTTGCCAGTACACCAATGTTCTTATGCGAATCCTTTGTGAGATCTACATAGTCTGACGAGTATTGTCTTTCTTTCTTGCTGCCAGTAAGGTAGGAAAACTGGATAACTCTGCCAACTAGACACTTTTCACAGTCTACTCTTGAAAAGAAACAAAGATCTCCACATCGCACTGATTTCTGTGGTCCTGTTTCTCTACCTGTGTTCGAAAAGATGTGACTTGGCTGCTCATCACGTACACGCAACAAGCGGTCGTTCGAAAGTTGAAAGTTTTCTTGTAAAAGATACAATCCCGTGGTTTTTCTGATGTATGTACCGTTATAGGAGAAAAAAGGAAACTTGTGATTTGATCCATCCTTTTTATCCAATTTGAAAGATTTCGCTGACGTTTCAATGCTCTGTGCCTGTGGATTTACGATCTTTTCGTAGCAAGGCAGTCCAGAGTTTGATGCCTTTCTTAATCGGATTTGGGAAAGATCTTCACAAATTGTTACAACTTGTTCCCGTGGCATTGGTAAGTCTCGCTCTTGAGTTGTTGTTGTTGTAGCGTCTGATGTAGTCTCTGTTTGTAAAACAGTAATTTCGCAATTTTCATCGTCGTTCACAATTGCTTCTTGAACAATGTTGTCAATGTCCTTCACAATTTTGCTATCCTCGTAGGAAGCCAACTTCATTCCACAAGCCGAACAGAGAGCTATTGCATTGTTCTTTGCTTTAAGAATTTCTTTTGTTACATCATTGATATCTGGAACAGCAAATGTGTCAGTATGCTCGGCTTTGCTTTGCAGTAGATGCTCTTAAGTCTGGGGAAAACAATGTTATCGTCCGTCTCTGCTGAAGTCAGAAACTGCAATTTGTGAATTTTCTCCAGAATCCCTTTCAATGAGAAATTGACGATTGTGGAAAAGGTCGGTGTCATTGACCTTAGCAGCCTGAAAAGTTGCTCGCAGCCTTGTGATCCAGACAACCAGATTCGTAGTGCCTCTTCAGGAAAATCTCTTCGGATAACATTGTAAACGAGGTTTATCATCATATGCCCATTCAGTTCAACGCGAGGTTCAACGCATAAGTAGGCATTATTTGTCACGAAATAATCGCTTTCGGTCAAACCCTTTTCTGACAACCAGCACCTCCAGATTCTCAGAAAGAAAATCGAGTTCCACATAAGGTAAAGCCTTTTAAGTGGCGATAGTGATTTATCAAAGAACGCGTCTCGGATATTCCGCATTAACTGTAAGTAGATAACCGTACCGGATGTTTTAACAGTCGATTAGTCGAATGCATTTCTTTCAAACAATTCTCAACGCATGGATGGACGAGAAGGCCAATGCTGGAATAATTTTGTTTGTCCTTATTGTCAATTGATCTTTGGGTTAGTCCATGGCTTGACTTTGGAAACTTTTTAAGTACTTCTACAAGATGAGCTCTACAAGCTAATTCCGACCCGAAAGATAAGATGTTGGATGGTATTAGCAATCGAGTCCTCAATTTAGCCAGAAGGTGTATAGTGTCCTGGGAACACAAACCACTTGATTTCATTGACGGCATCATGTAGAACTACCACTCTGAGGGGACGTTAGACGTTTGACATGTTTTGAACAAATTAGTCCTGCAAACCATTGCCTTTAAAAATGGTCCTGCACCATCTGCTCCACTAGATACAACGAAAATATTTCGTTTACGTAACTCAGTCTCAATTTTTTTCCACCGCTCCTCGACCACTTTATGGTTATACTTAGAGTCGGTCCCAAGCACAAATAGAACAAACGATGGTGCATCTGAACTAACTGGTTGTGCTACTATGCAGTGAGCATAGGAAACTGTTGTTTTTGTATTGTACACGGTTTCTAACTCTTCAAATGTATGCAGTACAAATTCTTCAACACAAGGAATTCCATCTTTCAGGGGCAAACAGAACCCGACAAATCTGTCAGTTACAGGATCGTACTCTACCTTGTTTATAATTCTTGTATCGTCCAGGTGGATATGAACATACTTCGGCGCTTTCCATTCTTTTAAATGGTTTGCAAGCTCGTCGAAACGGAATTCACCTTCTTTTATCTTTTTCTTGCATGCAATGGTTCTGTGCAATGTTGCAACAGCCGGTAAACCGCAGCCAATATTTACTTGGACCATTTCGTAAGCGGCTCGTCCTACTAGGCAAAACAAAGATGTTGCAAACTTCTTAATTGTTTCATCATGTCGATGGCCTTTGCTAGATTCCTTCATGCTATTTCGTTCAGCGTTTTCAAAAATCTTTCTTAAAATAGGCCTCACAGACGCACTTTTCTTATTACCACACAGTGTGTTAATGTTCTCTTTAATCTGATCATTTTGATCTACAAAATCTGAAATCGTATTTTCAAAATAGTCTGTAATTTTTCGTTGACCAGGCAAAGCTGACGCATTCATTAAAGCCCGCTGTTTTCGGTAATCTCTACAGACCCAGCGGGCTGTTGCAAGTTTTTTGCACTCTCCTACAAAGGAAAATAATAGTTGACAAATTTGGACAACAACATTGTCAATGTCAATGACGCTAATAAACGCAAAATATATTACACGGTTTAGAATATAATGTTTACTTTTTCTGAGATTTCTCCTTCCTTGTCACTGTGGTTGAGGACTTCATCTATACCTAAAAAACAAGTAGTTTCACTTATATCGCGAGTGACATATTATATATAGGAAGAAATAGAAAAAGACCCCAGTTGGATAAAAAACACATTTATTTGGTCACAATTTCATTAGACCTCATCATCAATTCTCATCATTTCATATACCTGAGTCATCTTCATTGTGAGTAGAAACAATCTCTCCAAGAAAAGAATCAATTTTTGCAACTTTCTGGGGTATGGGACTTCTATTAGGATTTAGCCAGCATCGTTTTGTGACATGTCTCTGTGCATTAGATATGGAAACAGCTCCCTTATTCGTCGTTGGTATGCAATTTTTACTTGACAAACTTTGCAAACATAGTGACAATCTCTTGAATCTTTCAATTCCTAAACGGTAACAATATTTTACATAATTATGTGTTAGCCTCATAACGGCCATTATACTTGTAACCAGAGTAGTTCAGCTTTAATTAAAAAACTTGTTTTAAAATGCTTATTAATTTTGTAACGATATTGGGAATGTTACTAATTGAAGGAATATGCATATACATATACATTCCGGCGACAGTGAGTGAGGCAGAGCAGACACCACCATAGCCCATAAGTTCTAACAAGCTCAGAATGCTTCTGTTTAATTAAAATAAAGATATGAAAAAAGAACACTTACTGTAATCTTGAAACTATCAACTGGTTTTAAACCAACTTGGGGCAATTTTTCCTTAGCTTCCGGTTGATTATGAATCCAGTTAAGCATCCGTTTATGTATTTCGCTGACACTCAGTGGTGGGCAGGAGCTTGTGGGTTTTGTCATTGTGATTTTCTTCGCAGAATCTTTTGGGATTTTTTTAGATGACCTTTCTGACTTAAGTTTCTCCACAGCATCAAGAAATTTTGTTAACACTGGCTATAAAATTTATGAACATACATGTTGAAAAAATTGGGCTGCATGCAGTACTTAATCTGAAAACCATTTACGTTTATTTTATTATCTCTTTTTTTTCTCGAAATTAAATAACAAAATCATTCAATAGTTTTGATTTTGAAAATTTGGCATACATTTTTGAAGAAAAAAATCAATACCATTGTTGTCATAGTAAGAGCAATATTTTTGATAAATAATAACTCTTCGCTGTACATTTAAAAGCAGAGAGCTACCTTGTGTTATGTATTCTCATCAATTACGTAGGAAAAAAAGAAAGAGATAATATATAGCAAGTCCCCAGGCACAGTGCGTTCCAGTGGGTTTTTTCTCGTTTTTCCGCGTATAACATTGATAAAAAATATATATAAAAATATACGTACCTCAAGACCAGGTAGAAGCATAACTTTTTCTGGACACTTGCTGAAAATTCCAAACATTGCATCTTTCTCTTCAACAATGTCTGCCATTGTTTTGACAAACGAAAACATTTTTTCAATCTCGTCTTTGCTTTTTAGTTTAAGAACCGAATCTATTGTCTCATAGCCGCTGAATTTTATTATGTTTTTTAGATAAGTTCCTTTTGAAGGAAACATATTCCAAATTTCATCAGGAATAGCATCTGTAGTTTTTTTAGGATCTGTAGAATCAATTTCAAAAACCTCGTCAACCTCCATTTTTAACGCAATAGTTTTGGCGCGAAATTAGTGCATAACCTTACATGAAGTAGTTGGAATACTTAGGATTTTTAGCGATTTTTATTGATTTGCAGGGATTTTCAGAGATTTTTCGAGATTTTTAAAGATTTGAGGGATTTTGAGGGATTTTTCGAGATTTTTAAAGATTTTTCGAGATTTGGGGGATTCTTAAGGATTTTTAGGGATTTTTTTGAGGGGTGTACGAGATTTTTTGAGTGATACACCCCTCGTGTTTTTACGTATTTACGTTCAGTATTGTCTTTCATATTGCTCAAAATTTTCAACTTGTTGTGTTGCAAACTGTCAAACTGAAATGATACTGTCTTCTATAACTCTTGAACAGTAGTGAACTGTCGCCGAAACTTATGTAAGTTCTATCAATCAATTCAATTCACAGGTATCGTTTTATCTGCTAAATCAAATAAAACAGTTATGCACCTATCAATGTTTTCCCCCTGGGGGGGGGGGGGGTGCGGGCAACCCACGGGAATTTTGACATTTTTCAAATTTTGTTGTCAAAATCCCCACTGTTGGGCAAGGAATGGCTGTCAAAATTCCCCACTATATTCCTAAGATAACAAGGCACACACATGTTTTCTAATGCGAACATACAGTCTATACTGGTTTAAACTTGGTAAAAATTGAGACACTGTGTATAAAAGGCTATAAAATAGGAGGTCGGGAATCTTCGAGTTAAGCCCTTCGAGTTAAGCCCCTCGAGTTAAGCCCTTTTCGAGTTAAGCCTCGACCACGCCCTGTCTTGCCATGACCACGCCCTTTTTCAAAAAGGGCTTAACTCGAAGAACGAAACACGATTTGGGTTATTCGAGTTAAGCCCCGGGGCTTAACTCGAAGTTTGACAAAAAAGTTGTTGCTCGAGTTAAGCCCCGACTTTTGAAGTATGTCAACGAGTGCAATATTAAATTGTCAAATTTTCAATACAAAAAAGCCAAAGCACAGAAATTTTCCCAAAAAGAACTTATATATCGCTAATGTAATACGATTATCAAAAACAAACACAACTATTATCGTATTTTAGGTATACTTTAGGTTTTTCATATTAAATTAATATTAAATTTAACAACAGGTATAAATTACTTTTAGTGGATCGTTTATCCACAACAAAACAACAAAACAATATTTTAATTATAAAGTAGATAGAATCTTAACTCGTTCCTTTTGTTTCAATGTGCACAATATCGACAAATTAACAGTTTTACTGTAACAAAAAAGGTACAACCTTCTCCCATCACCTTGAACAAAACTAATCTATTAAGGCTATTTTCCACTAGGCGGAATTTTCCGCGCGGAGCGGAATTTTTCTTTGTCTTGTGATTTCTCGGGTGGAACTAATTAGAAAAGACAAAGAGAAATTCCGCTCCGCGCGGAAAATTCCGCCTAGTGAAAAACGGCCTTTAAGAAAATGATCGAAAATGACAGCACGTAAAAACTAAAGAAAATAGGAGGAAAGGGAAGGAATTTCGGTATAGAATGATCTGTCTTTGACAACTTGCGCCCAGAGACTCACGCCTAGCCAAATGGTTATGAATCACGAATGGTTTCATTTGGGTAAACAAATTATCACGGGGATAAATTGTTACATTTGAGTAAAATACCCAAATGTAACAATTTATCCCCGTAATAATGGCGCTACGTCACCATTTCGTTTATAAAATTACTAATCGCTCAGGAAATATTCCCTTTTTAATAATACAAGTCAACGTAGCGCCATTATTACGGGGATAAATTGTTACATTTGGGTATTTTACTCAAATATAACAATTTCTCCCCGTGATAATTTGTTTACCCAAATGTAACCATTCGTGATTCGTAACCATTTGGCTAATAAAATTACTGTACATGTGCGTATGAGGCGCGAGTCTCTGGGCGCAAGTTGTCAAAGACAGATCATTCTATACCGAAATTCCTTCCCTTTCCTCCCTTTTTCTTTAGTTTTTACGTGCTATCATTTTCGATCATGTTCTTAATAGATGTTCTGTTACAGTAAAACTGTTAATTTGTCGATATTGTGCACATTGAAACAAAAGGAACGAGTTAGGATTCTATCTACTTTATAATTAAAATATTGTTTTGTTGTTTTGTTGTGGATAAACGATCCACTAAAAGTAATTTATACCTGTTGTTAAATTTAATATTAAGTTAATATGAAAAACCTAAAGTATACCTAAAATACGATAATAGTTGTGTTTGTTTTTGATAATCGTATTACATTAGCGATATATAAGTTCTTTTTGGGAAAATTTCTGTGCTTTGGCTTTTTTGTATTGAAAATTTGACAATTTAATTTTGCACTCGTTGACATACTTCAAAAGTCGGGGCTTAACTCGAGCAACAACTTTTTTGTCAAACTTCGAGTTAAGCCCCGGGGCTTAACTCGAATAACCCAAATCGTGTTTCGTTCTTGGAGTTAAGCCCTTTTTGAAAAAGGGCGTGGTCATGGCAAAACAGGGCGTGGTCGGGGCTTAACTCGAAAAGGGCTTAACTCGAGGGGCTTAACTCGAAGGGCTTAACTCGAAGATTCCCGACCTCATAAAATACCTTTTTCGATGAAACTTGATCGTGCTTCTCCGCCATACTTGTTACCAGGCCTTTCAATGTCAAAACCGCGCAAACTTTCAAGATGGCGGATGTCAAAATTTCCCGACTATGGGAGTTGATGCATAGGTCAAATTCCCCTCACTAGGGCTTCATAGTGTGGTCAAAGTCCCCTGGGTCGCCCGCACCCCCCCCCCCCAGGGGGAAAACAATGATAGGTGCATTATGAGTTGTTTTATATGAAAAGTTAAACTTGTAGTTCGATGTTTTGAAAAGTTTTCACACCGATTTTAACAACAAAAACAAATGTAAACTAACACTGGATTTAATACAATGCGTATAATGGTGTTTTTTTATTAGTATTTTCAAGATTAATATTTTATTTTCATGTCAAACAAAATATAAATCGCACCACAGAATAGGAAGTTATACCATAGGCAGCCCAAAACGGCGTATAGAATGCACCAAAAATGCTTCCAAATGTCAATTTGCATTAAGCTCGCCCCATTCCTTTGTCATTTGTCGCGCGCCGCAAGCACTCAATTTGAAAAGCAGTGTTGATATATATAGATTATACCTAAGGTTGGCAACTATATCTCAACTGACGAATATACGACTTCGGCAAAACGCAAAATACTTCGTATACGTAAATAAAACATGATAAAAAATTATACCACATTGAACTCTGATATTTTTTCTACATACCCGCATATAAATTTTGTTTTCAAGACTGCAAGAAAGATGAAAAATTTGCACAAACGTTTCATGGTCTGATGAAAATTTTGATGTGACTATGCGGGATGCCAGAGGTTATTTCATTCGTCATATTTTTAAAAAAATTATGTGATTCAATTGGTTGAAAAAATAAACAGTTCGTGACGTATTTATAGTAAAAATTTGGTTTCAGGGGGGTTGAACTACAACAGGAAGACTGCTAAAATACAAGAGCGATTTTTTTTCGAATATGAAATGGCGGATTTTAAAAACTTTTTACATCCATCTATAACTTTTATCTACAGCAAAACAACCAGGTAACTTTTAGCTACATGTACACGAAATGTCATGAAATTCTGAGCAATAATGGCGAAGAAAATGTGCTATAAACAAGACGGCGATATGCGAACACGCTTCGCTGTGAACCTTGCTCGACAAAGTGTATATAGGTGAATTTATTTAAAGCGTTTTAATTTAACTTGGTTCAATAGGTTGGATAAATGGTTGGATATGTGTATTTCACAAAATAGGCTGCAATTTGTAAGAGTGCTAGCATTATTTTTTTCCCCAGCATGGAATTTTGCATTTATATATAAAACAGCTTGTATCAAAGTTCTGAAAGTTTAATATGTATTCTATAATAAAAGCCTAAACATCTCCCTAGTTTAAACTTTAAAGTAAAAGTTAGTTTTTAACAAAAACTAGTGACTGTATATAACTATTACTGTGAATACTGTCTTTACACTGATAATAAATAAAACAGGGTAAAATGTAAATTTGTTTTGATATAAAAACAGTTTTATAGTGATATAAAAACAGGTTTACAGAATGGGCGTTGTGAAAACCCGGAATGCCGGAATATCACGGAATATGGCGGAATATCACGGAATATGGCGGAATATCACGGAATATGGCGGAATATCACGACATTTTCCCGGAATATACCGGAACATCACAATATTTTCCGATGGTAGCCATGCGACTGTTTATAAACATGGGCGTCTGACAACATATTTTATTACAAAAGTGATGGATCTTTCCCATGTTGACGGTATAAGTAACAAACAATGACTCTATACTGGAAGTTTATATCGGTTGTTTATATCATTATTACGAGTGTTCACCAAAAATTTCGAATCAATATGATTAATTCCTCTTGAGTTACAGCACCTTGAAGGCTCTTGAAAAACAAAAGTGCTGACGTCAGCATTATTTTCGAACTGTGTCATACACAAAATTTAGTTAAAATTGACCATTTTATACCACCAAGCATTTATTCAAAAATCAAATTCTAAAATAAAGGCAAGTTTGAGCCAGTTGTTTATATCAGGTAAGAAGTCCCAAGGGCCAAGGTAGATGTGAAATAGTCTAACATAATAATAGTCTTTTTGTGTGATACGCAAATCAGTCTTAATGATTGCAGAGTTTTTTGTTGACACTCTATTACATCAGCCACTTGTCGTGCCAGCGACAACTAACGACCAAATGGAAACTAGGCTTAACACAGTTCTGAAGGCGTTCGAAAATAATGCTGACGTCAGCACTTTTATTTTTCAAGACGCCCCAAAGTTTCAAACTTACCGTCCCAAAGTTTCACCCACCGTTGCGACGCAGGCTATAACTCACGAGGAATTAATCATATTGATTCAAAATTTTTAGTGAACACGCGTAATAATGATACAAACAACATATAAAACTTCCAGTATAGAGTTATTATTTGTTGCTTACCGTCAAAATCCATCACTTTTGTAATAAAATATGTTGTCAGACGTCCATGTTTATAAACAGTCGCATGGCTACCATTGGAAAATATTGTGATGTTCCGGTATATTCCGGGAAAATGTCGTGATATTCCGGCATATTCCGTGATATTCCGCCATATTCCGTGATATTCCGCCATATTCCGTGATATTCCGCCATATTCCGTGATATTCCGGCATTCCGGGTTTTCACAACGCCCTTACAGAATTCACTTCGAAATATTCTTGCTATATAGCTATTTAAAATTATAACTAGAAATCCAGTACAAACACCTATTTAATACTGAACACTTGATTACTAGGAAAACATAAATGATCCAACCTATTGTTCCAAGCTACAGTATTAAAAACGCTATAAAATAAGTTCATACCTATAACTTTTCTGAGGTTCACAGCGAAGCGTGTTCGCATATCGCCGTCTTGTTTATAGCACATTTTCTTCGCCATTATTGCTCAGAATTTCATGACATTTCGTGTACATGTAGCTAAAAGTTACCTGGTTGTTTTGCTATAGATAAAAGTTATGGATGGATGTAAAAAGTTTTTAAAATCCGCCATTTCATCTTCGAAAAAAAATCGCTCTTGTATTTTAGCAGTCTTCCTGTTGTAGTTCAACCCTCCCTGAAACCAAATTTTTACTATAAATACGTCACAAACTGTTTATTTTTTCAACCAATTGAATCACATAATTTTTTTAAAAATATGACGAATGAAATAACCTCTGGCATCCCGCATAGTCACATCAAAATTTTCATCAGACCATGAAACGTTTGTGCAAATTTTTCATCTTTCTTGCAGTCTTGAAAACAAAATTTATATGCGGGTATGTAGAAAAAATATCAGAGTTCAATGTGGTATAATTTTTTATCATGTTTTATTTACGTATACGAAGTATTTTGCGTTTTGCCAAAGTGGTATATTCGTCAGTTGAGATGTAGTTGCCAACCTTAGGTATAATCTATATATACTGTATCAACACTGCTTTTCAAATTGAGTGCTTGCGGCGCGCGACAAATGACAAAGGAATGGGGCGAGCTTAATGCAAATTGACATTTGGAAGCATTTTTGGTGCATTCTACACGCCGTTTTGGGCTGCCTATGGTTATACCAGAAGCATAACTCTAGTCGTTTCCCTTATTGTTTGACGTCCACGAAAATTTTAACTCGCTCACGTCAGGCCACGCCATCCTGGCTAGTACAGCCGGAAGTTTTTATCAGGATTTGGTAGGTACAAAGTGCCGGTTGTACTAGCCAGGATGGCGTGATTGATGACGAATCGCTTGTAAAAACGCGGACAAATATTTGCTCGAGTTACGCTTCTGGTATAACTTCCTATTCTGTTATCACACGCTACAATTTACACGCATGCGCAGATTGTGCTCATGTCGAGTCGATTTTTTAACATGCTGGCCACGCCGATTTTAGCGATGATTTTCTCGTGTTTTCTTCGGTGAACTTTTTTTAAACTTTGTATTTTTGTTATACAAGACGAGTGGTACAACGTATCCAAATATTAAGAAATTCTACAAATAACTTTTTCTGTAACCGTCATTCACGAATATCTCAGAAAAATTCACCGAAGGAAAATATAGATATTGTCAATTTATTGTGAAATTAGACAATAAAAGTGCAAAAGATTAAACATCATGGTTGCCATGGCAACACGAACACTGTTTTAATTTGTTCATAAATGGACAGCACACAGCTTCTGAACTTTCCTGGAAATGATCATAAACCTTGTGGCAAATCATGTCAGCCATATGATATGTCACGTGCATGGAGTGACTTTATATCTGATAAAACTCATTTTCATTAGTATTCTTTAAATAATTGTTCATCCTAATTAGTATGATTATATAATATAAATTCGGTTCAAAGCGAACGTTACTGAAAATACCTAGAATTTTAGAGAACTGTAGGGAGCCACCATATTAGTTCGCCGATAGGTCAATCGAGTGGAGATTTAAATTAATATAAGCTACATTTTGCAATATATTTCGCTAATTTGTGATTATTTTCGTTAAATTTTATAATTTCATTGTAGTTTTAATTTGAATTCAGTCATTTAGTGGGCTGCCTATGGTTTTGGGCCAAATTTTTCTGTGAACCTTGCGCGAGATTTTCAGCCAAAAAGATGAGGATTTCTCCAAACTTTATTAAAAATAGAAGTCGGAAATCACAAGAAAGATGAACACGGAACACAAGTGAGCAGATACGATTTTTTAAAGGGTATTTTTGAGTAGAAATATGCGATCAAACACTCACAAAATTCGACTTCATTATTGTTGGTTGAATCTAGTTTAAAGTTATCTTTTTAGACGAACTGTTTATGCAAATTTGGGCACAATTTCGACTGTTTTCGTGACCCCATTGTTGGTCTTCTTGTTCAAGTTGTTATTTTAGCTAAAGTATGTTTCAAACGACACCAGATTGTGCATACGTGACCTTTTTTGACCTTTTTGGCAAGAATACTTCGAGTATTAAATTACACTAAATAAGTAGGATATTCCAAAGTCACTGTTATATCTATTTTCATCAATTTAGTCTTAAAATGACAACTCGTTTCAGACATATTGTGGTTTAAAATAAGTGTATTGAATAAACGCCGGCTTGCTTGCCGTGTGCGAATTCTCAAAAAGTCCGCACTTGAGTTGTAAAGCTTTCAAAATGCTTTTTTACTGGTTTTTATATCCCCTATAAAACTTTAAATCGATAAAGCAGATAATAATGTTGATGAAACATCATTTTCCAGTAACTACACACAGAGGCGAGCCAGGCCGGGGGCCCCGGCCCCCCCCCCCTGGCAAAATTTTGGGGGCCCCTCTGATAGAATGTATTGTGTAAAAAAGGGAATCCTTGATTATATAGCTTCATGCTGTCAATAATACTAATATTCTGTAGAATATATGCTTTGCTGCGCATCAGTGTGAAACCTACTGTAAAATCTTGTTCGCTTATTTGCGGCACACAGCTTGAAACATATACGTTTTCTAACCTTAATTATTTCAATATGTATTAAATGTGGGTTAGATGAAGTTTAACCCAATCTGGTTTTTTTACCAGTGAATGTTTAACGCGGGCTTGGTGAAAAATCACATGTGTCGACAATTAATTTTACCCAGCACTGCACAGAATGTCTTGCGCGAACTTTGCGTCTCGCATGGGCGTCAATCCTGGGGGGATTGGAGGGAAGCGTACACTTTGGCAAATCATTCCAAACTGAAACGGCAGAATAGGTAATACTTTTCTTCATAAAATTAGTTTTTGGTTTCTTTAAAACAAAATTGTTGTTGCGTAAATTATGATTTGAGTTGTTTTTCATTTCATATTTACCAATCATTGATTGTGGCAGTTTAATATTATTTTTAACGTTGTATGCAAACATTGCTTTCTTTTTTCGTAACTACTGCCAGTGATTACTCGTGCCGCTCTGTTTTGTAACTTTTTCAGGGTTTTTTTAATAAATAATCCGTGCATTCATCCCACACAAGGCTGCAATAATCAAAATGGGACAAAACTATTGCATCATAGACTTTAATTAATGTAGAAGTAGATACATATTCTTTAATTCGACGTAGGATACCTATGCCCTTAAAAATCTATGCCCGTAGGATACCTATGCCCTTCGTGATATTATCGATCTGTGTGTTCTATGTTAAATGATCGTCAATTACAAAGCATACCACCGGACCTTCCTAATTTTGAGTACTAGTCCGTCTCGCCCCCACTTTTTGGGATGGATTGACGACCTTGGCGTCTCGAGTCACTGGCGGTTTGGCCCCACCTGGGTTTTTGCTGCCCCCCCCCTGACCAAAAATCCTGGCTACGCCTCTGACTACACATTGAATCAGAAGAAAAAGTTATCAAAATAGGTCGCGACGATTGTTTGGCAAAATGTCGCTTCTCTCTGAAATGGCTTCCTTTGCGAGAAGCCATGAAATTGAAGTCCTAACAAAAACTAACCTTAGCAGTTCCTTTTGGGCCCATTGCTCACTTATTTATCATGAAATCGCTTCACTAGAACATTTTTAATACTGTCTATGAAAGACTTTGTAATTTTCTGAACTAAAAGTTTATGGTTTCACTTTCGAGGTGTTTATTTTATAAAATAGCACGCGCGACAAAAGGGCCCTTTTGTGGTTTCTCACGTCTGACAAACAACCAAAGATGAAAGTCCTTATTTCACCTTTGTGAGTATATAGATAACATTTCTACACAATATTCCTTATGTGAAGGCTTATTTCAAACTAAAAAAAAGCGATTGTTTTTCAGAGCCAGACTTCAAAAGAGAACGCGTGTCTGACATTTTATAGCAGCCTACATTGGCGCGCAATATAATTTTGGCTAAAAACCGTTGCTTTTCCAACAAAAACATGAGAAAAATGAGCTAAAAGTCTTACCTGATGTATGTTTAAAATGTTTTTCTTCTTATGGTGTTTTTCAGTGCTTTGAGTAGAGAGGTTAATATCTTTTGGTTTTGTCACCACAATTTGCCTTTGAAAATGTCGGCTGTCATTGTCTGTGTTAAAAACACCTCAGAAAATTCCTATTTTCTCACAATCCCATCCTTGGTTTATATTGAAAATAAATAGATTCTAGTACCATATGTCCTTATAAATATATTTGAAGTAATTAAAAACTTGAAAGATGTACAAGCACTGTGTTTTGGCTTGCACACTTTGTTGAATTTGAACACTTAGTTACTGTTCTAATTTTCATGTTGTAAACATCTTGCCCAAAAAAGCAAAGGAGTATATTTTATAATTTTTGATCATTTTCTAATTCATATCCCAATAGATGAAAATTGGTTATAAAATAGATATGTACTAATTTAGTGAATATTTTTTTTTTTTTGTTTTTATATAAATTTATGGAGATATTGCCCGACATGAAAATAGTGACATGAAAAACAAAATGTCACTGCTTTACAAATAAAAATTCTCAGTGAAAAAACTAATTATATATATATATGTATGCAAGTTCATTTAAACTAAATTTGGTCAATCGTATATCAATAATATTTGGTTGAAAAGACCAGATTTTTTCATGCAACTGTTTCTGAGATATTGCCATTTTGGTGAAAGCACTTGAATTCAATCACGTATTCGCCATTTTGCTTGTCCACTTTGGGGGTAGAAACATTGTAACAGCTTGCGCGTTATATGTTAAACATGCTTTTTACTAATTCAGGGTATTAGTCAGAAAAACATTTTTGTCCGTTTAACGTAAATTGGGAAAGTTTTTTTGACCGATCAAAGTCCTTGTGTACGAATAAATAGTGTTTTTTTCCAACATGTTTTTCCTCAGATGCAAACAACGGTAGCTTGGTTTTGTACATTTCATTTCCGGTGAATGAACACTGAAAAATGTACCTGATGGTACTTCGTTTTGTACAGTGTGTATCAAAATAATTCGAATCCAAATTTGGCGTGTAATAACGCAGAATATATTTGACAAATTCGGTTGGTTTTTACACCATTGTTAAGTTCATTTATTTATCTTTCAAATGACATGCTGTACGCGTCATTTAGTTGGAAAATGAAGGAGTATTGCTTTGACAAAAAAAGTCCATAAAAATCACAATTTTCCGCCGATGGGAATTGGACATTTTTTCTTTCAAAGTTAGTCCCACAAGGCTTTGAAATGCTAATCATCGCTGAAAACTAAAATGCAAATTTAACCGAATTTCTTCTCGTTCAACATGTTGAAGGCATAGGAGCTTCTTGAACACGAATTTATGTAAATTTTGCTACATAACAGTTTGTTGATTAATTAAATTTGCATTATCTTTTGTTTGTACGTCTCACTTCGAATTCCCATCGGCGGAAAAATTTGATTTCTAGCAACCAGTTTTAACACACGATTTTTTGGTCATTTTTTATCTTATTGATATAAGAACGATATAATCGGAAACCTAGTAGGCTATTCTTTATTGCCATATAAAAATTATATGGTTTACTTTAGTATTTTATAAACAGCAGTCTGTCAAATTTGGATTCGAATTATTTTGATACACACTGTATATTTCATTTCCCGTGAATGAACACTGAAAAACACGGATGCACACCGATTACACAGTTTTGTTTTGTACATTTTATTTCAGTGAATACACACCCAATATGAATGAAACGCGATACATTTTGAGAAAATAGTTAATAGGAAAAAGTAAATAAAACGTTCTTTGATATAATAATATAAAATCAAACGCAATGCACTTTCTCATCAGAGAAAACGAAAACCTTCCAGTAGACCCAGTTGGGAAAGCCCCTTACCTACTTCAACTGGGAAGAGTCTGTCAAACGGACAGTATATGGGTTAGCTAACACCCTGTAATTTACCATATGGGAAATCTATAATAACCAATAATGGTTCTCAAGTTGTTATTGCAATTTGTAACACTACAGTGAGAGTTACGGAAACTTATTTGGATGGGATAAGGAATACTTATGGTAACCAATATGAGAAAAAAATGTTAGCAATCGTGTTGAGGCCTAACAATCGTGTTGAGGTTGGCCTTTCTTTCTACTGTATGTACACAGTAAGTGCAAGCGTCATTTGTGAATTTTGAAGTGAAAATATCAGTTGAAGTGAAAACAAGGGCCAATATGAATATCGATTAACAGAGTATCGGTGAATTTCCATATTCATTTGGTGCATTAGTCATCACTACTAAGATTTATTAATATTTTTGCCCTCTGGGGGGGAGGGGGGTGAGAAGGGGAATTATAAGCATGATTTCAGCACAAGTTAATTGTCGAAGTGTCTACCCCAGCCTGGGGTACCCATCCCAGAGATGCCTGATGACACATGCACAGGTTTTTAGCCAGGGTCCTAAAAGAGGGTGTCCAATTTTGGTACAACGATACATCTACAGTGAAGGGAGGGGGGGGGAGAGGGAGAGGGTTTGAGAAAACGTTCCTCTGGAAAATCTTTGAAGTTTACGTTACTTCATGTCAGTATCTGTTCCAAGCTCGTTCGAAATTTTTCAAACACACTTGGCTTCGTGAGTTTGTGCCGCTATGCTTCTTTACTTAACTATGACATTTTCATTCAGCCAGGTACACCATCAAACTGATCAACATGTCAAATGTATAATAATAATGAGAATTGAAGCTATTTCGTTTCAGATATATTAATATACTTAGGGAAATAATTGAAAATTATTTCCCTTTCCCCAGTGGCGGATCCAAATCCCCCCCATTTTGCCCCCCTTAAAAAAAATTATTAGTCGCTAAGAGCGACTAAAGGCCACACAAGCGTTTTGTCGTTATCGGAAAATGTATGGCTTATAAGTTGTCATTACTCATTAGTGAATGCGCGTATACATGAAACTGTTTTTTACAGTTTCAATATTAGTTTGTAAATCTCTGAATGGTAAAACTTGCCAATACTCCAATAATACGTTTCAAAAAAAGACAAAAAAGCTTTAGTTTTGCAGAGTTAAATTCTCAAACGTGTAAGGCAATAATAAGATGAAAGTATCACGAAATTATTTGAATAAACCACATCGCATATATTGGGGGCGAATGTCCTAAAGAGGGGCGATATTCCTAGGGTATTCGCCCCACTCCCCTGGGAGGCGATATTCCTAGGATATTCGCCCCCCGGGGGCGATATTCCTAGGAATATCGCCATGTTTTGAGGGGGGGGGAATTTCCTGGGGGGGGGGCGACCTTTTTAAAAATTCTATCTTGCCCCCCCAAAATTTGAGTTTGCCCCTCAAATGCCCCCCCAAATTTGGAAGCCTGGCGCCGCCACTGCCTTTGTTACAGTGAAATACACAAATTCTTCAAGTTAACTTCTACATATACATCCAAAATCATCTCTGCACATGTGTTCAATATTTTCTGATTTAAAAAAATTCAAACTGCCACGCAAAACGTCAAATTCACTTTTGAAAACCCACCCACCCACTCAAAACGTCAAAATGACGTTTTGCGTGGCAATTTGAGTATGGATGTCGCCCCTTACTGCATAGAGAAAGTGGTTATTACCCATTTTTTGCACGGTGTACGCGACTAAATTACTTATATTCTTTTATACAAACAGCCCTTTTAGCCTGTTTTCCGCTTCAGCTGTATCGTAACCTACCGTAGCATTTTTTTGTGTCGAAGTCATTAGTTCCACACCATCGCTCAGGAAACAAAGAAATACGCTACGTTTCGGTACGATACGCGTTTGCAACGTTTTAACGTAGTTTAAGTTATGAACCATGAAAATGATGAAATAACGTAACGGTTTGAATAACTATGGCATACTAGAATGCCCAAGGGAGTACAATTTATAGTCCTTTTGCTTTAGTGTAAAAATTCTTTTGTTGATGAACATGTCTTCATTGACGTTGCAATTGTAAATTTCCATGAGAAGACGTTTCTTTATAAACTTTTTCTCAAAAAATGCACGTTTTTTCATTTCAGTTCATGCACTTACTACACAAGGCAAGTTTATCGATGTTATGGAGTACATCACAGAGTACAAATTATCAAGTACATTGGATGAAATCCACTGGAATTTCTACGAGGAAGATGCTGTAGTTAAGGTACGATGTGGCTCTGTATTTTTTATAACAGTTTAGGGGCTTCGGTGCCAGAAATTCGTGGGTTTCACTCTCGCTGTGGACTCGTGATATACTTAAGCATGTCAGAAGTTAAGACTCTCCGACCGAAAGTCGTGCTCCGGTTTCTTTCCACAGAAAATGTTGACGGGGTGGGCTGGGGTTAGTCCCTAACTGATCTTTCCACCGTATCCGTGATCAGACACGAGTCGTGTGGCTCAACCCAGAGGCACCTTTAGAAAGCCAAGCAGTTTCAATTAGCCTTTCTCACGCCGCCATTTTTGGGTGGCATTTCAGCCGAAGTCTGCGAGATAAGTCCACATAACAGCGACCTTTTATAATTTTTTGGACGAATGATGGTAAATTTGCTTTGTAAATGGTTAGTTTATTTTGAAAAATTGCTTTTCACATTGTTTTAATTGCCTGCATTGGATAATGAAAATTTGATGCCACCCAAAAATGACGGATATTCGTCATCGTGAGAAAGGCTGCTACGTAATTCAGTTTAGCTGCAAGTAGTTAGCACACTCCCACGTACTTTTATGAACAGAATCTTCGTTTTGCCCACCAGTTTTTTGAATACTGGGTGGTCACACCCGAACTCCTCTTCTTGGTGCGATCCAGTCTTACCTATTTAACTATCCTAATCAACATTTAATTTCCACTTTTTTACGATTTTAGCTTTTTCCTGCAAACACGAACTGTCGCTGTTCTCATAAGAACTTCGTGAAATCATTCTTGGCCCTATCTCTTAGAGTCGTACCTACGAACTGGGTGGGCAGGCCATGCCTGAGAATTGAAGTGTTTGGAGTTTATAAAGGTATTCTAATAGCAATGTAATCATTACTGTGACATAAGATGTGATTGATCGTGAAGATATGTTTTGATTTCAGGTATTCTTAGCGTACATGCTCGTTCCGGTACTGTGTTCAACAAAGAAGGAACTGTTGTGACCCGTCAAAGTTCTATTAAGGTTTGTTGTGTATCAGTTTTAAAGTGTTCTTCCTAGAGGTCTGGTAAAGTGCATCTGTTTAATATTGATCCAGTGTTACTACAGGAGGAAACCTAAACTAAACTAACTTTATTTATACTGGATAATTCTATCAGTCTTAAACTGTTTTCCCTAGAGGTCTGGTAAAGGGCACCTGTTACTGATCCAGTGTTACTACAGGAGAAAGCCGTATTGTTCGGGGAAAACTGCGAGGTTTAGTTGAGTAAAAGTGAAAGTACTTTTCTTACCTGCGACTGAGATTATAATCAAACGGTCCATGCACATCAATATTGAACTTAACATAAAAGTTACTGCTGTGTGTATAAATTTGCTATTCTTTATTTATAGTTGAACGGAAAAGAGGTCATCGATACACAGACTGGTTATAATATTGTCGTAGCGAGTTCCATCACTGGCGACGTAAAAACGTCAATTACATTAAACCCATCAACAGATCTTGCGCAGCTCAACAATTTTCTAAGAAATATTACAGATCATTCAGTAGTTGTTGTTGCCACACAAAACGTCAAAGAATTGTAAGTCTTTAGACTTCCGCAGCCCGCAAAAACTATACCACTTCTAAGCTGCTCTCTCTATAGGTACAGTGAGGGTCATCCCTTGTTGATTTCACAGGAGGAAACCGCAGTACCCAGAGAAGAGGGTCTTAATGGGGGTCTTTGGGTGTCAGTTGTCAGCTAAAATTTAAGCCAGTTGTCAGTTGTCAGTGCGATATATTGCAAGGTGTCAGTAGTCAGTTACTGCAAAAATGCTGACTCATCATTTTTTCATCATTTCTCAGTTGTCAGTTAGGATATTTTGTCAGTTGTCAGTCAAAAATTCAGGCAAATGTCAGTAGTCAGTTAACCCCATTCAGACCCTCAGAGAAAACCTGTGGTCAAGACCGCTGCGAGTAGCCTTTATTTGTGATTTTGTGACAGAGTTGAAATGGCCAGGCATATTGCAGGAATTGCACCTCAGACGTGAAAACGCAATGCCGATTAACACTGTATATAATATACTTCTAAAATTTCATGTCTTCTGACTCATTTAGGCCTCCAGACGAAACTTTGCTTCTTCTAGAGTCACTTGGTGCAATCAGATTACGCTACTCCGTGACATCTGAATCCTGGATACTTGTTGGATATAAAGGAAAGCAACAGGTTCACTGGATAACAGAGAAAATTGGAAAAATTGAGGAAGCTGTAAAAGTTGCAGTATTTGTACCCCTTAACAGAAGTAAGCCGGCTTGGTTTTCATTACTATTTCCATAAAGCAGTATACTATGAGTTCTAAAAGAGAGCTACTTGATTTTATTCAATAGACCTTATGCATAATGACGTCACAAGGCTTGATGCCGGCGAGGAATGCTGGTCTTAGTAGTCATCGCCTATGGTCATCGCCCGGGAAAATAAAACAATTCAAAATGGCCACTATCGAAATTTTTCCAGGTGATGACTGCTAAGACCAGCATTCCCCGCGGGCATCAAACCTTGTGAGGTCATTATGCATAAAGTCTATTACTTAATTTACTTGTAAATTATTTATTATATTTGATATCAAGATCTAGAATGTAAGTTGTCCCTTAACCGCTTCCTGGTTAAGTTCTCTTCCATTTTACAAGTAAAGAAGTGTTTTATCTGACATTTACTTAAGATAGCCTACTGGATAACTTAATATTATACATTACTTTATGGTTTCCGTATTTGGATGGCCTGATCCAAACACGCAGGAATGTTGCTAGAGTTAAGAAAAGCGTGCTTCAGTGTTACTACAAGAACTCAGTGTTACTACAGTACCCCTTCCCCCCTAAAAAAAAGCCAACTTGTGGTGTTTGCTAGTGTTGAACGGTAAAATTTCATTATCGAAATGTTTAATAGTACATGCACTAATTACCGTGTCTCCAACATCCTTGTTTTATCAACATCAAATTAACGTATATTCTATGATTAGGGAACCTAAAGCCCAAGTATGAAGAATACTTTCAGAACCCTGCAAATGAAATCACGGAACCTGGCCTGTCCCTTGAGGGACGCCACTCAGAACTGCTTTACAATACCAATTCAAGGTGTGGAATGAATAACTCTGATTGTCAAGAAAAGCTATCACTGGCCATGTGGATGAAATGTGACCTTTCAAAATACACGAAACAGACAGCAAGCTCATCACACAGAGGTAATTCATGTTCTTGGTATCGTTAATTACTGAGTGTGAACTTAGAAATAAATTCAGTCGTTATTATAATTGTATGATACACAAAGAACTATTATATAATATACAAAGTACGCCACATCATCATCGTCATCAGCACCTATAACCATTACAATTATCACCACCGCCACCAGCACATAATCATCATCGCTACCATCATCACCTACCATCATCATCACCACTACCATCATCACCTACCATTGCCATTATTACTACCATCACCACTAGTATCATCACTACCATTATCACCTACTATCATTAACCATCACCATTATTACCACCACCATCATCATCATCATCATCACTACCATCAACCATCACCATTATCACTACCATTATTACCACCATTATTATCATTACCATCAACCATCACCATTATCACTTCCATCATCACCACCATCATCATCACTATCATCAACCATCACCATTGTCACTACCATCACCATTATCACTACCATCACCAACCACCATCATCATCATCACAACCATCAATCATCACCATTATCACTACTATAACCACCACCATTATCATCATCACAACCATCAACCATCACCATTATTACTACCATCACCAACCACCATCATTATCATCACAACCATCAACCATCACCATTATTACTACCATCCATCACCACCATCATAATCACTACCATCATCATCATTATCACAACCATCAACCACCACCATTATTACTACCATCACCACTCAGCATCATTATCATCACTACCACCATCACCTACCATCATCACCACTTTCATCATCACTTACCATCATCACCTACCATCGATCATCACCTACCATCATCACCTATCATCATCATCACCATCATCTCCGCAACACCGTTACGACCATTACCATCAATCACCATGTTTGAAAGTGATCTATCTTTGTTTTTCTAGAACGTTTCGTGTTCAAGTACTACTCCAGTGGGTTTAACTTCGTCGTACCAAAACAAACCATGTACTGGAACGATGCTCGGGCGTACTGCCAAGCAATACAAGCCGACTTAGTCGTTATTCCAGACGAACACACATTGAATTTTCTTGCAGATCTTTTTGGACGGGAAGGCTCTGATGGATTTCATATAGGTTTAAGGAGACATCCCGATAATTTGCTTCTTTTTCGTTGGGTCGACGGTTCTAGTTTAGTTTTTACGCGTTGGAGAATTAACGAACCCAACAATATTGCTGAAGAATGTGCGGCGATATATGCGGGAACATATAATGATATATCGTGTGATGGCAATCCGAAACGTTTTGTCTGTCAGCAGCCAATTGAAGGTTAGCTTCGTTGTATTTTTGTTAAATTTTACTGGATATTAGTTCTAAACTGTTCTTCTCTTCTACAAAAGGAAACGTAAACTAAACTACATTATTATAATGGATAGCTCCACCATTTCTAAACTGTTCTCCCTAGAGATCCCGTAACGCTATTCCTTATCACTACAGTGTTACCTCTAGAAGAAACTGTACTCGGAAAAAGCTGTTGTGCTTAATGAGTTGCAAAAAACTTCGTTTGCTCAATTAACTTGTTTATAACTCTAAAAAAGACAATTTTTAGTTTTTGGCAAATCTACCTGTGATTGACCAAACAGGTAACTAAAAGAGGTCGGATCACGTTTCACGTGAAGAAAAATTACCACTTCATGAAAATTAGTAAATTTCGTTTAGTTTAATAAATTTCCCCCTGTAAAAATACTGCAGGAGTAAAGCATGATCTTGACTATATATACTTCTTGGAAGGAGAGTTCAGAACTGACACAGCTATTCAGAATAGATAGCGTGAATAACTGAACAATAATAGATTTAATGTGTGAATAAAGTGAATAATAACAATATACAGGACATAGTCTTAACATTTTGTAAACTCAAGACTTAAGCTGTATTCAAACATGACTTTATTTCAAAGTCATTGCCAAACCTGAAATAACTTTGAAATATTAAAAGTCGAAGTTTTACCTTGAATTTTGTTGTCTTGTTTAAATAGTTGTGTGTTTCATTTTATATTTTGCGAAATTGTCTGCTGGTTTAAAGGTAATTGTTTTAACCTTACAATAAAATTTTTTTGTTTCAGATCTCACTGGTCTCGAACCGCTGGGCATGGAGAATGATTTTATTCCTGATAGTTCAATCTCGTCCTCGTCAATATTCAACATTTATCATAACAACTACTATGCCCGACCAAACACTCAGAGAAATAATCCTCGAAGCTGGTGTGCAAGTGGAAGCGACAGAAAACCTTACTTCCAAGTGAATCTTGGTGAAATAAAGTCTGTGTGTGGTGTGGGAACTATGGGCCGTGGCTCTATTGACTCTAATTATGGCTACCCCATTTCGTACTCGGTTCAACTCAGTAATAATTCCTTTAACTGGACATTTGTGAAGGAGGACAAGAATGAAAACGTCAGTAAACATTTATCAACATTTTTATTTTAGCAACATAGTTGCACAGAGTAAGTACATACAGAGCTCTCATTTCTGTGAGAAAACCGTAAGGTAGTTTATATTGCACATACCATGTTCTTAGCAAGTGCCATAAAGAGAGGCATTCACCCACCCCTGGAACATTAAATTTCAATATGTTTTCAGTGGGGGGTACTTGCTAAGAACATGGAGGACAGAAAAGTCCCTTACGTTAAATTGTAAAACCTCTGTATGTGTTTACTCTGTGATAGCAGTTAGTGTTTATACCTTTCACCATTGAGATCAGAGTTCGAACCAGACATAATACTACAACAGTACAGTTTTTCAATGGTGGGTGTCAGCATAATGTACATTTCATCACTGAGATCAGAGTTCGAACCAAACAGTACTACAGTAGCCAACCGTTTTTCAATGGTGCACGTGGATATCAGCACAATGTACATTTCACCACTAAGATCAAAGTTTGAACCAGGCATAGTACTACAGTACAGTTTTTCCATTGTGGATGTCAGTACCATGTACATTTCACCACTAAGATCAAAGTTTGAACCAGGCATAGTACTACAGTACAGTTTTTCCATGGTAGATGTCAGTACAATGTACATTTCACCACTAAGATCAAAGTTTGAACCAGGCATAGTGCTACAGTACAGTTTTTCCATGTTAGATGTCAGTACAATGTACATTTCACCACTAAGATCAAAGTTTGAACCAGGCATAGTACTACAGTACAGTTTTTCCATGGTAGATGTCAGTACAATGTACATTTCACCACTAAGATCAAAGTTTGAACCAGGCATAGTGCTACAGTACAGTTTTTCCATGGTAGATGTCAGTACAATGTACATTTCACCACTAAGATCAAAGTTTGAACCAGGCATAGTACTACAGTACAGTTTTTCCATGGTAGATGTCAGTACAATGTACATTTCACCACTAAGATCAAAGTTTGAACCAGGCATAGTGCTACAGTACAGTTTTTCCATGGTAGATGTCAGTACAATGTACATTTCACCACTAAGATCAAAGTTTGAACCAGGCATAGTACTACAGTACAGTTTTCCATTGTGGATGTCAGTACAATGTACATTTCACCACTAAGATCAAAGTTTGAACCAGGCATAGTACTACAGTACAGTTTTTCCATGGTGGATGTTAGTACAATGTACATTTCACCACTAAGATCAGAGTTCCTGCAATATACAGTTGACATCTGAGCATAATTTGGCGCCAGTCACATGTGAGAACTGAAGAGTACTTCCAGTTTGAGTTCACGAAACATCGCAGATTTTCTTCAAGTATTCCGATTTCCTCCTGTAGTATCACTGCACAAATAAGAGATGATCCGTACTGGACCTCTAGGAGAAACAGTTTAGAACTGTTAGAGCTGTTTAATATAAATACACGTAGTTTAAGTTAGGTTTCTTCCTGTAGTATCACTGCACAAATAAGAGATAATCCGTACTGGACCTCTAGGAGAAACAGTTTAGAACTGTTAGAGCTGTTTAATATAAATACACGTAGTTTAAGTTAGGTTTCCTCCTGTAATAACGCATGAATAATTATGGATTACCCTTATTGAATTTATGAAGAGAACAGTTCAGAACTAATATAGGGTATAACTTTTATTTTTATTTTACGAACTTCCAGAAAAAGGGCCTTTGCTCGAAACATCGAATTGCTCCTTGTATTTGTCAGCTAGTTGAATTCCTACTAACGAAAGTTTTAATTTTTATTTTAAGGTATTTAAAGCGAATGAAGATAAGAATACGATGGTAATCAATCGTTTTTATCAAGCATTTCTGGCGCAGTTTGTTAAAGTGAATTTTCTCACTTGGAACAACCTGCACTTACTTTGTGCTCGAGTAGAAATATTTGCTTGTAAAGAAGGTATGATGACACTGTGCCAAATTTACTGCATACTCTATATACTGTCACTTCCTCACACTATTCTCTCGTCTTGTTTAACACTTTGCAAAATAATGGTGTGATCTAGTCACAATCCATTGACCGGAATGTTCCATTGTCTGCGGAAATCCTTGCAATTTGTTTTCACTGTTTTGACACACAAGTCTCATTTTATTATCCACGCCGTCCATCTATCATAGTTTTGACTTACAATTATTCTGCAAACTATATAAATGTTTTTATTTCAGAGAAAGAACATGAACATTCCCAAAAACGATCTCAAGATGCCGATGCGTCACTCAGTATGAAAGGTATGAAATGTACTATTTAAAACACGAGCAGCAGTGTTTTATCGGACATAAAACATGAAGCAACAGCTGAATACTTTATATAGCTGATAAAGTACGGACTGCGTGTGTTTTAAATGACTTACAGCTAATTCAAAAAAGATACTTGTGTGATGTTACTTCGAGTGTATATCCACACCGGGCAGGCCTGAAAAATATCATGCCTGGCCACGGTGGGCTAGTATTCCAAAAGTCGTAGGTTCGAATCCCACCGTGGCCAGGCATAAGTTTTCAGGCCTGCCCGGTGTGGATATGCACTCAGAGTAACATCACACAAGCATCTTATTCACCTGAGTACATTACACCAACACAGCAAATATCATAATTCAAAAAACGTTTCCTTTGCAAACCTTAAACTCTAAACCTTAAACTTTTAAACTCTAAGCGCACAAAGCTTAATTGGAGCACGAGTTTCAAGATTAATAGTCGAATATTGCAGCTTTTGTGAATGAATTGTTCTCGTAAGGAGATATTGACTATGTCTCTAAGAAATGGACCCCATATATGATTTCCGAACTGATTAAATGATGCTCTCATTATGCTTTGCATTAGAGTCTAAGGTTTAAGGTTTACTAGGTTTTCAAAGGACAACCTTTTTTGAATTAGCTGTATAAAAAACGACCTATGAGTTCATTGGCGAAGTAATTTTAAAAATTAAACTTTGAGCCGATAATATCAAAGCTAAAGTTCATGTAAATGAACATGATTTGTTATCACATATAAAACCACCTACACGGCGGTGATTTCATTTGTCTTTCATCATGAATTATTAATGAGCTATATGAAAATTCTTTCCTGTACAGAAAATCTCCCAGAAGACTGTTTGGACGTTCTTATGTCTGGTGGAACTACAGACGGCGTGTATATGATAAATCCTGGGAACGAAGGGGCTTTTTCTGTATATTGTGATCAAACAACGGACGGGGGAGGTTGGACCGTATTTCAAAGACGTATGGATGGAGCGGTCGACTTTTATCGTACTTGGGACGAGTATGCCAATGGGTTTGGAGATTTATTCCAGGAACATTGGCTTGGCAATGAAAATCTACTCAGAATAACTAACGTCTTTTACAGTGACTTACGAATTGACCTTGAAAGCTTCTCGGGTGAAACTAGCTACATTACTGTGCGTAAGTTTAAGCTGATGACTGGTAGTGAGAAAGATTATAAGTTTTCTTCTATTGGTAACAATGGGCCCATGTCACAGTTACGTAGTAAAACGTTTTCAACCAAAAACAAAGGAAGTGAAATGTCTGCTGCTCAAGCACGTCACAGTGGATGGTGGTACGTTGATGTATTAGAGTCCAATTTGAACGGGAAGTATTACGGCACAAAACAGTATGCGCATGATGGTATATTTTGGAATGCTTGGAAAGGGATCGAGACCTTGAAAGGAACTAAAATGATGTTGCGCTCTATTGGAGAAGGTATGTATGGAGACTTTGACATTATTGAATTACTACTCATGACACTGATGTGAAAAGAGTAAGTCCGCCCAGCTCTCAGCTGTGAGTTAGGATGATTAGCACACCCCCACTTACTTAATTATTTACTTATTTACTATTCTTATTGTTCCCTTTTACTCTAATCGCACACTGACTCGTGGTCGCCTTTACTTGGATTTTTGTCCCGTATTTTCTGTTCCTTTGTAATGACCATTGTCAGTCCTATGATACTTAGATTTTCTTTCTCTGCAATGACTACCACCCCTTTTCTGAAACGCTTTCCTTCATCTCTTCTTATTACAGGTCCATATTATCTCAGCCTTACTTTCTTTACCTTGTCACAATGTTTTTGATCAGCTCTCCTTCATATTATATCTTCCCATTCCAACCTTACTTTTTTCACCATCACACATCTTCTGATCTCCTCATTCTTCACCTCATGGGCGTACGGGGGGGGTGGCAGCCCCCCAGTATGTTGGGCAGTCGGGCAATATTCGCTGAACAGTCGGGCAATTTTGGTTTATTATAAAAATAAATGGGGCAAATTCTGTAAAATTTGTGGCCAATTTTGTGATGTTTCGAAAGTTTTTGTTAGGTTCCGAAAAATTTTGGTATGTCCGGAAAAATGTTTTGACCCCTAAAATGGTACACTGACTGAAATTTTTTTGGCGACGGGGGGGTCGCCAAATTCCGGAAAAAATCTTTTCGGTACTTGTCGGGCAAAATCCTGGAAAAGTCGGGAAAATTTCTTTCCGCCCCCTAAATTTTTCCTTCCGGTACGCCCATGCTTCACCTGGTCCTTGAGAAACCCCAAGATCAACCTCAACATTCATATCTTTCTCATCTGGGGCCGGTTGTTCAAAACTAGATTAGCGATAACCCTTGGTTAAAATTTAACCTGCTGTTTCAGTTTGTGTATTTCTGAAGAAATATTTCTAAATTTATAAGCAAGCTGTTGGGAAGTTTGATTTGAATTTTAGGTTAACCTAGGGTTAAGATAATCGACCTTTGAAAAACTGACCCCTGGTATTCTTCGTTTTTTGAACAGAAGCACCGTCCTCAGAGTTCTTAACATTTTTTTGTCACAAAGAACTTTCCTTCTCTTTTATAGAGCGTACTGGGCCACTAGGCATGCAAAGTTGGTTTATCACAGGGGAGCAAACAAATACAAACAGTCCACACATTTTTCATCCTGATTATAAACACTATTTTGCAAGACTGAATTACCAGAGCTACTGGAAAGTGGCAGATTTAGGTAATTTTGAAATTTTATCATGTTTTGAAAACTCGATGGAATTATGACATATAACCCGTCATAATATGACTCTGCAGTTGATGTGGAGGTGTCTTATTATTATTTGTCTTGTTTCGTATGAAAAAAACGCTTCCAATTTGACTCTATCAAACACCAGCTGTAGATTTTTGCCAGGTACTCCTTCCCCTGTAGTAACACTGGCCTGATAGGTGATATCGCTAACTGGAGTTTTCTGCACAAATAAAGGTTTTCAGTGAACATTCTAAACATAACACTTTTTGAACTTTTTCTGTGTTGGTGTAATGTACTCAGGTGAATATGATTCTTGTGATATGTTACTCTGAGTGTACATCCACACCGTGCAAGCTTGGAAAATATGCCTGGCCACAGTAGGAATAAAAAAAATCATGGTTACTAGATTACATCGATATCGAAGTAGTTCCGAAGACTCAGTTCCGAAATATCACATACTCGAACCGACCTGACCGCGTAACTCGGTTGGCAGAGGGTTAGTATTCCAAAGGTTGTGGGTTCGATTCCCACCGCGGCCAGGCATATTTTTCAAGCTTGCCTGGTGTGGATATGCACTCAGAGTAACATCACAAGCATCATAATACTTTTTGTTTGTGGAAACACCACATAAATTTATTGCTGCAAAGCTTTCGATCCAAACATTTTTAAACATTTTTAATAGGTTACTACTTAGAGATCAACCTCAACACCTTCCATCGTATCACACATTTTGCGACTCAAGGAGGGACAGATTTAAATTATGTCAAGAAGTTCTTTGTTCGACTTAAAAATAAAACTGGGTTTTGGAAAGACTATGTAGAGAATGGCCAGTTAAAGGTTTGTACGTTAAACGATAGTGAATTGTTGTAAACTGTCTCATTTAGAGTGAGCCATTAGGCTTATTTTCACCAGGCAATGATAATAGTGGTGATGGAAATAATGGTGATCACGATGGTGATAATAGTGATGGTGATAATGGTGATGTGTGATGTGTGATAAGGATGATAGTTGGCGGTTATAATGCTAAAGATGGTAGCGACGATGATGGTGATAGTGGATGATAATGATGGTTGTGGTTGTGATGATGATGTTTGTGGTAATGATGAAGATGGTGATGGTGGTGGTGATGATGATGATGGTGGTCATAATGATGATGATGATGATGATGACAGTGATAATAATGATGATGATGATGATTGTGATAATGGTAATGGTAATGTTCTCGATAATTTTATTTGTTTTAGATATTTGAAGGGAACAACGAACACACATTGGCAAACGAGTTCGACACTGTCTCAAATTGTCTGTATGATGCTGAACTTGTCAGGACAATACGACTCCATCTTGTTTCATGTAGCAGCGCAAATTGTTCATTGAGGATTGAGTTATACAGTTGCGAGGATTGTAAGTACAGTATACGGATCTGGATAGTAGACCTGGATAACACAACCGCCATTATTCACAGCTGGAAAAAAGAACCCAGCTAAAAATTACCGGACAATGCACTACATTTACACAAGAAATGTCTAAAAAGATTTCTGCACTTATAGTTTAGTTTAGATTTCCTCGTGTAGTAACACTGAATCAATAAGAGATGACTCTTACTGGACCTCAAGGAAGAACAGTTTAGAACTGATAGAGTTATCCAGTATAAATAAAGTTAGTTTAGTTTAGGTTTCCTCCTGTAGTAACACTGGATCAATAAGAGATGATCCTTACTGGACCTCTAGGAAGAACAGTTTAGAACTCGTAGAGCTATCCAGTATAAATAAAGTTAGTTCAGTTTAGGTTTCCTCCTGTAGTAATACTGGATCAATAAGAGATGATCCTTACTGGACCTCTAGACAGAACAGTTTAGAACTCATAGAGCTATCCAGTATAAATAAAGTTAGTTTAGTTTAGGTTTCTTCTGTAGTAACACTGGATCAATAAGAGATGATCCTTACTAGACCGCTAGGGAGAACAGTTTAGAACTGATAGAGCTATCGAGAATAAATAAAGTTGGTTAAAACTAAGTAAAATTTATTTCCACTCTTGTTTTCCAGCATGTAGTTCACCGTTGGGAGTTAGCAGTGGTCTACCAGATGATAGATTAACCGCATCATCATGGAAACCTGGAAAGCTCCCAATAGCTGGCCGGCTTTCCAAAGTGGCCGCCTGGTGTGCAAAGGACTTGAAAGCAGACGAGTTTCTAGAAATAAACTTCCTAGAATTAGTTAAAGTGACGTATGTCGCCACCAAGGGATATATTAACAGCGGTCTACCGTGTTTTGTCAAGAGTTATTCTATCATGTATAAGAACAGAAAAGGAAAATGGATTATGTATAAAAGAGAAAATGACAGGGTAAGTAATTGTCTGACTTGGAAACTTTACGTATTTACCCCACACAACTTTGCCTAAAACTGTCGCGTGCAACCTGCTTACAACTTGAGTTGTACTTTGTAAATCAAGCACACAACTCATCTACGACAACGTAAGTAAGTTGTGTGCTTGATTTACACAGTATAACTCAAGTTGTAAGCAGGTTGCATGCGATAGTTGTGTAAATCGACCTTAAATAATCAGTGGAATGGTGTTTGGTTCTTTTCTTTGCTCGAAGGTTTTCTCTGGGTTTACACCATAAGTCAACCCCTCTACCGTAGCTGTGTTTCGTCAATAAATATGGATCGTACAGTGCAGTCAGAGGCACACTTAGTAAGCTTTCGACTCGGCAACATCGTTTTCAATTTAGCACTCAATTGATAATGAACAGCCCCAACCTTAACCTAATGTCCTTATACTCTTTAAACTGAACTGAAAGATGTGCTTGTTATTACTTTTTATGCTGTACCTGCATGCTATTTCTTGTAGGTATTTCAAGGTAACATCAATCCAGATCTTGCCATTCGTAATAAGATTGAAAAGCCTTTCCTGGCGCTCTCTTTGAGATTTGTTGTGAAGACGTGGCATAATGATATCTGTTTAAGAACTGAGATATATGGCTGCTACCCAGGTAAGTATTTATGCCGCTCTCTGAAAATAAAGAGGTTCAGATTTGACTACCACTACCGCTCACTAGCTTATTACGCATTTGATTGGTTAATCGGGGAGAGTAAACGCATCCGATTGGTTAATGGTAGATTGGCAGCGGTCGTGGAAGTCCAAGTGTCAACCTCTGTAATAAAAATGAAGAAACCGCTTCAATCTTGTGTTTAATCTATTCTGTTTTGGTTTTTCTGAAGGTCAAAATGAAATGCAAAATTAACATTTATTTCTATTCATCCTTGATTAGATAATCCTAAATTTGTGATTTTTACCGATACTGCTATCACTGGAAGAGATTTCAACATCAAAGGTAGTTGAAATGAACAACAACAACAGCAACAACAATGACAACAATAACAGCAACAACTATGACAACAACAATGACAACGACAACGACAACGACACTTACAAAAGCGAGTAAGAATTCTTTATACAATTCCTATAACTTGTTGTTATATTTTTTTTTAGGGAAGTATCGTTATTGTGAAAATTGTGAATGCCCTGGTTGCAAGAAGAGTATCTGTCTTCGTGTGTTTGATAAAGTTCATATTCTCGCTGCTCATTTCTCGCACGACTGTTTGTATCATGACTTTGATATTCCTGTTCAGGCATCCGTCATCCCAGGAATTCATAAAGTTTATGTAAGTTACATTATCTAAATTGATTAGGGAACAGATACGAGTAGTGGACGGGTGGCAATGAAAGTGTTCCTAAAATATTCGACCAATCCTTTTGCCTCGCATTGTTGTGGAAGTGTAACCTCCATATTTGTGAATAGACCTTATGCATAATGACGTCACAAGGCTTGATGCCCGCAAGGAATGCTGGTCTTAGGAGTCATCGCCCGGGAAAATTTCGATAGTGGCCATTTTGAATTGTTTAATTTTCCCGGGCGATGACTACTAAGACCAGCATTCCTGGCGGGCATCAAGCCTTGTGACTTCTTTATGCATAAGATCTATTGGATGCTTGCTGATCCAATATTTGTAAAACGTGTTTCATTATTTAGATATCAGACAGTGACTACAGTGACTGCAGTGATACATATAATCAGCGTATGGTTGGAAGTATTGCAGTTTCAGAAGGTAAAGCATATGTCATTCTTGCCTGTGTAGCTAACAGTTTTCAGGGTTGGGGCTTGGGGCACAGAATATTACACAGAAGGCCATCTCCATTGTTTTTGCGTAAGCGCTATTCGTCATGATTCGTCACTCAGCAAGTTCCCTAAACAGAAGCAGTCAACCCCCCTGGAAATATCCATGGCTTTCTTCCACACAGCGCCAATTTGAATATTTCCAGGGGGTGACTACTTCTGTTTAGGGTACTTGCTGAGTGACGAATCATGGCGAATAGCGCTTACGCAAAAAAACACTGCAGATGGCCTTCTGTATAGTATTCTGTGGTTAGGGTTGAGGCACTGGATACCTCAATCTGTTCTTGAGTTCCAGTAAGGAACATCCATTATATGTTCACTGTTACTACCGGAGAAAACCAGAGTGCCTAAAGAAACTTTTTGGAGCCAAACTCTCCCGTGTGCATCATTAAGGGTGAAAAGTAAAGGTCACCCGTTAAATATTTTGTTGCTAACACAGTCAGAGAAACTTTGTAAATATGCACTGAGAGACAAATCAGAAGATATGTTATATATATATAGATATAGATATAGATATAGATATAGAAATCGTAAATTTTGTTGAACTAAGAGAACGGACGAATTTTACCTTCAAATATTTTTAACTTTCTTACTTATATGCTTGATAGAAGATGGTATTTTACTATTAACATTAATATTTTTTTAGTATTTAGATGTAGATCATATTGGAGTGTAATTTTGTAAACCGTCATCAATTTAGTTATTCTGTTTTGAGTTTAAAAACCATTTACATACATACATCATTTTACTAGTTGGCTAGTACCAGTCAATTTTACTCCTTAATGAATGAGTTTATGAATACAAAGAGTTATTGGATGTTTTCATGCTGAATAGGTTATACCAATTGTTTGGACTTATTGCTGTCTGGCCACACAGAAAGTGGACAATATTTGATAGATCCTGATGGAAATGGGTCCGTTATGGTACGTAACACTTTAAGTATATTACGGTGATGAATCTAACATACATCTATATTGAAAACTAATCCAAGATTCCAAGGTGCTGATGCATGGGTACCGTGTGTGTTAGAGAACAACTAGGTTTTGCACACAGTACAAAACAACAAAATACAATACAAAAATGGAACAAGATTGCAACACAGTCCAACTGAAATGGAGAGCACTCTGCGTGTTCATATCACGTGTCCAGTTATAATCCCTAAATCTTTTGTTCAGGTTTACTGCGACCAAGAAAAATATGGTGGAGGTTGGACTGTATTTCAAAGACGAGTTGATGGCAGTGAGAACTTCAACCGAGACTGGGCGACCTACAAACATGGTTTTGGAGAACTTGAGCGCAATTTCTGGCTTGGAAATGAGTACATTCATCGACTGACCCGCACCAAACGGGAACTGTTGCTTGAAGTGAACTCTGAAAATGGCGATCACGCATTTGTTTTGTATAAATCATTTCAAATAAGTAATGAAGAGGATGCATATCGGGCCCACGTTTCAGAATATCAAGAATCCGTAGGTAATTGCTGTATTTATATCATTGAATTTTTCTCAGAACTTAGAACTTTTCGACCACCTGGACCAGTCCGTCAGTTAGTTGGTTAGCCAGCAAAAGGCAGGCAGGCAGGCAGGCAGGCAGGCAGGCAGGCCGCCAGACAGGTGATTACCAGCTCGAACCAACTTGACTTCGTTTCTCAGTTGGTGGAGCATTGGACTGACAAACCAAAGGTCGTGGGTTTGATCCCCACAGTGGTCAAGCAAACGATTTAGCTTCTCGGTGTGGATGCATCACACATACACACATACATACATTACAAACATACATACACACATACACACGTACATACATACACCCATACACACACATACATACATACATACATACATACGTACATACATACATACACACACACACACACACATACATCAATACATACATAGACTTATTTTAACACGCTAGCCTCAACAACTATCAGCTGGGGCTCGTAAATGAGTGAAACTTTACAATGCACAACTATATAGGAACATTACAAGGGTATTCTCTACACACAACAAGAAGACAAAAGACAGAAAAACGAGCCGGCTTCAACTCATCGTTTGGTTCAGAATCGTATATTAAGGGAGCTTATAGATGCAGTGGTTCAATATGTCAAATATCTCAAATATTTTTTCCATATTTCTATAGGTAATTGTTTGTATTATTTGAATGGCAAACCATTCACGACATACGACAGAGATAACGACGATGAGGATAGTGGTAACTGCGCTACTGACAGAGAAGGAGCTTGGTGGTTTGGAAGTTGTGGCGTTTGTCATATGAATGGAGTATATGGAGGAAATTACTTGACAAAATTAAAGTTTAATTATTGGACAGACAATCAATATCTTAACGGAGTTGAAATAAAAATACGAACGAAGGATGGTTAGTATTGTTCAATATACAGTATTTACTTCCGTCCCTTTTTGTCCTCCTAGCTGTAGTAACACTAGAACAAAAAGAGATGATTCTTACTGGACCTCTAGGGAGAATAGTTGAGAATTTATAGCGCTATCCAGTATTAAGTTTAGTTTAGGCTTCTTCCTGTACTAACAGTAAGAGACGATTTTTACTGGACCTCTAAGGAGAACAATTTAGAACTGATAGAGCTATCCAGTATAAATAAAGTTTATATTTCCTCTGCAGTAACACTGGACAAAAAAAGAGATTTTGCCTTCTTTGCCGGTCCCAGCAAGGTTGTTCCACTTTTGTTTTGTGCTAACTTCCTCTGTCGTTGTTTTACAGTCGTGACTTGCAACGAGACGTTTTGCTACTACGTGCTGAAGAAGCCACGGCATTGGTTTGCAGCGCATGAGGAGTGTCGCAGATTCCATGCAGATCTTGTGTCCATTCACGATGCAAACGAAAACGAGTGGATTGCGAATACGATACTTCGTGAACAAAATATTGATGAAGTTCACCTGGGTAGGTTGAACCATTTTGAAGACACATAACAAGATACACGCTTGTTTAAAGGCCGGTTCACACTTGCAATTTTCACTGCGATTTTTAGTGCGATTTTCTTCTTTTGACGCATGTGAACGAGTAGATGAGTTATGAATGTTCAGTTCAAGGTCAGTGAACTCTAAGGGAACTGGAACGATAACTTGGCGGCCATCTTTGAAGCCAAATTGAAGGCCGCCATGTACGTATGGAGTGGAAAATACGCCACCAAAAAGATGTCTGTTTTCGACCACTAAATAGCTGTATTTCAACAAGGAAAAAAGCTAAAAACTTACAACAATACCTCGAATTTAATACAAAACATGTTTCCAGAACGTAGAGCAGTTATAAAGTTCTTTTTTCAGGAGTCAAAGTGCGAAGTTTTTTTCGGCACGTTCAAACTTGTGTAATATTTTGAATATCAAGCTGTTACCCTGGAAGTTTTTGCTGTTAGTGGATGTAAAATACTTAGAACTATCCAGGAAACCAGGTTTGAATCTTTAAAGTTGAAGCCTTTTGATAAAAAAAGTACTTTTTCTTGCTGATTTTCGCTCAAAAACAAACTTTTGACTGAATTTCCCGCTCCTCGAAACTCTCCCCAGTCCTTTTGAAAGTTAATTTATTGCTGGCCGTGCTCGCGAGAAGCGCCATTTTGGCTTCAGGCAAGTATGGGCATGTTTATCTGCAGTTAGCGTTCCAGTGTTATTACAGTTCACTGGTTCAAGGTACA